TCAACATAGTAGCAGTTACAAGCAAAACACAAGGCAGGAGAGAACAGTTAGTTTCATTTCAGCAGTTTCTCTGCACAGACTCAGAAGCTGCAGACTAAGACATGCCCTGGCTCCAGTCCGTCTCAGCTCCCAAACAGCCCTCTTGGCTGACTTACTTGCTATGCCTATACATTGGCTGACCTTGTTACCATCTCCTATTCCACTTGATGAATATACTCTTGACAATTTTGAGGAAGGTGCAGACACAGTGAAAAGAAGGTCCAAGCTCCTGTCAGTTGACATTGATGAACTGATAGGACCCAGAGCGAGCCAATCTTGCTGATCTTCTTGGACAGGCAATGATAATTTGTCTGATCATGTTGGACAGGCAGAGCTGGTTTCCTAATCTTCAGGCTCTGTGCTCTGAAGGCTTTTATGGATGACCCCCAGCATCTTGAATGGGTGACCCCCAGCATCTATACAACTTGGGATGAACACCCTTGGAATGGTGTGGAAGTAGGAATGGATTTCCAGAGGAAAACTTGCAGACTACAGGAACTAGGAGCCCTACTCAAGTGACCCAAACCCTCCAAGTGCTTCAATGACCCACTAAAAGGATGCAAATGACTAGCTTTGTGTGTAAGGAATATAAATCCTTCCATTCGTCACCATCCTGTCAGAGCTTCTTGGATGAGAAGCAAAACGTCTTCAAAAGGAAAAAACCAGAAAGTCCAGTTGCCAACTTTGGGACAAACATGACCTAGATGACTGAGAATCTCTAGAGACTTTCAGCACCTTGAATGCCAACTGGAAGTCCAAGGGTAAGCAGTGCAGCTTATGTGATAGCAATGTTATGTGAACGTACTGAGGGCCCATAGCTTCTGGCTATTTCTTCAAAACCTCTCCTGGCTTTTTCAAACAGGAGTTGAGAGATTAGGAAGTTTAGATCTCTCAATTGTTTTCAGTAAAAATGTCCAACTCATTCAAAGCTGTGGGGGAGGCATCTGATCAATCCTGGTAGTCCTCAACGTACAACCATAATTGAGCCCAAAATTTCTGTCGCTAAGTGAGATATTTGTTACGTGAGTTTTGTCCCATTTTACAGTCTTTCTTGCCAGTTAGTAACATGGTTGTTAAGCGAATCTGGCTTCCTTAATAACTTTCCTTGTTGGAAAGTCATAAAAGAAGGCACCTGATTCCAGGACACTACAACCGTCATAAAGATGAGTCAGCTGTCAAATGTCTGAATTTTGATCACTGACCACTGGAATGCTGTAAGTGTGAAAAGTGGCGATAAGTCACTTTTTTCAGTGCCATTGTAACTTCAAATGATCACTAAACAAACATTGTAAGTCCAAGGCTACCTGTATATTTTCATGTATCTCATATATTAAAATACTGTATGTCCTTCAACCTGCATTATTATTTTGAGTATAGTTATTTATCATACCTCTTTTCTACAGTTTTCTGGATCTTTCCAGATCCAGCAGCCCTATTCTTCTCTCCCTGCCCTCCGCAACTGAAGTTGGGATACGTGGAAAGGAATATATTTGAAAAAATCTGCAGTGAAAATGATTTTGTTTGTCCTCCGATTTTATGCACAGAATAAATAATTGCAGCTTTGGTAGAGAAGCTATTCTGCAAAATCTACAATATATTGGGACTGGTGGTGAAATGTAAGATTTGTTACCACCGGTTCTGTGGGCGTGGCTTGGTAGGGGTGGTGGTAATGTGACTGGGTGGGTGTGGCCAACTTTTTTTTAAAAAAACTTTTAAATCCATTTTTTTCTATATTTTTTCAACCTTTTCGGCCAAAGAGGTTGTAGAAAAAATGCTTTTAAAACCCCTTGACGATCCCATCAGAGGCTTTTTTTTAATACTTTTAAAAGCATTTTTTCGGCCAAAGAGGTTGTAGAAAATATAATTTTAAAAATAATTTAAAAAGCCTCTGATGATTGCGCGGCTCAGCTGGGCATTGGGGGGGGGCAGGGATGTTTGCTACCGGTTCTCCGAACCACCTGCCGCCATCACTACTGGATCGGGCGATCCGGTTTGAACCAGGAGCATTTCACCCCTGATTGGGACCCTCTCTACCAGGGGTGAAATTCAGCAGGTTCTAACAGGTTCTGGAGAACCGGTAGCAGAAATTATGAGTCATTTGGAGAAACAGCAAAAACGACTCTGGCTGGCACCAGAGTGGGGTGGGAATGTACATTTTGCAGTATCCTTCCCCCAGGAGTGAGGAGGGAATGGGGATTTTGCAGTATCCTTCCCCCAGGAGTGAGGAGGGAATGGGGATTTTGCAGTATCCTTCCCCCAGGAGTGAGGAGGGAATGGGGATTTTGCAGTATCCTTCCCCTGCCTCGCCCACTGAGCCACACCCACAGAACCAGTAGGGAAAAATGTTGAATTTCACCCCTGCTCTCTACCAAATAATATACGTACACGTACAAGAATTCATACCATTTTCTGAGTGGTGGACGCCTCTGTCTTCCTTTGCTCCATCAAGAACGTCAAGCAAATCCCGGAGCCAGGAGGGGAATGACTGAGAGAAAAACACAGACTGCATATAAACAGCAGTAGCAGGAAGCCATTCCAGGTCACAGACACAATATAAAAATGGTAGAACCACCTGCAGAAGGAACAGTTTAGGGTTAGTCTGTACATTGTGTTGCACCACAATGTGGTTGGTTTGCTTTCAGATCATCAATTAAGCAAACTGTAGTTTAACACACTAGTTTCCAATTGTTGTGACCCAGGCCCAAGTAGGTAGTAGTCGAACGCAAACAGTTCCAAAACAAACAGACTTTAATAGAACAGCTGAGAATTAACTCATTCTCAAACTAAATCGAAACAAATTCTTCATAACACAAATTCTTCAGTCTAATCACCAACCTTGGTATAATTAGGCAAACTACCAAAGGCTTCTCTTGGCAAAAGTTCAGAAGCAGAAGATGCCGACAAGAGATAAGTGCAGCAAGACTATCAACGTTGTTTTCCGACAAAGAGCCCAAGAGCCGTTGCTGGTCTTTTAAGCCTTACGAGGGGCCAATCATCTCTTGACCCTACTCCTGAGTCGTCCTCTTTGCTTTAGCTGCTCCTGCCTTCTGGCAGTTCTTCTCATACGTGCACTAGGAACAGGCTCCTCCTGTTCCTCTGCCTCTCTACTGTCAGCCTCTAGAGGCTCCGGAGTCCGCACATCACTCCCCAATGGCCCTGGCCCCATCTCTGCCTCCGACACAGAGCCCTCATCCGGCCTTCTCCAGCCTCCAGGACTGGTCCCTGTTCTACCTCAGCCTCATCGCTGTCCGACTCCGCTGCCAGCTCTGAAGGCTGCTGGCGGACCACACCACCTATCTAATTCTTGTGTTGGAGGGGCCAACATTTTTTCAGTGCCGTTGTAACTTCAGACAGTCACTAAATGAACTTGTTGTAAGTCAAGGACTACCTGAATCAACCCCACATTGGGAATTCCGGGCTGAACGTCGGACACGAGTGGGCAGAGGGGAAATCCACTCTGCTCATGCTTGGATGCATTCCGGAGTGTGGATTTATACCAACCCCATAATGGAAAAGGATCTTAGCGGCAGCCTGGAAAGTGAAGCAGGAAGGACTCAGCTGTATCCAGAGTCCATTCTAGGAGGCATCCAGTTTTGGTCACCACATTACAAAACAGATGTTGAGAGTTTCGGAAAAGTGCAGAGAAGAGCAACTAAAGTCTGGAGATTAAAACATATGAAGACCAGTTGCAGGATTTGGGCTTGGCTAGTCTAGAGAAAAAAAGGACTAAGGGGGACATGATGACAGTATAGGTAGTCCTCGACTTACAACACTTCCTTTAGTGACCATTCAAAGTTACAACGGCACTGGAAAAAGTGACTTATGACCGTTATCACAGTTACAACCATAATCCCTATAATCCCCATAATCGTGTAATCAAAACTCAGATGCTTGGCAATTGGTTCACATATATGACCGTTTGCTATTGCTGTGCCCCAAGGTCATTTAATGCAGTGGTGAAATCCTCCGGAGATCGCCACCGGTCTGCTGTCTGCGCATGTGCCAAAAGCACGCTACACGCACATGCACACCACGCACCAAATGCGTACTTCGTATGGAAAAAGAACACTTAAGTAGAAAAGCGAGGGGTGGGAGAAACAGCTGTGCCGCGCGATTTAGCTTCACTAGAAAGCAGGAAATATAAACCGCGTGGCACAGCTGATCGTCGGAAATTTTTTACTACTGGTTTGCAAACCGGTAGCATTTCGCCCCTGGTTTAATGGCCGGATGCCCTTCCTGTCGCCAATGCGGAGTTTTGTTCAGCCGATAGATTCTCATTGTGCCCGGAGAGAGAAATATCTGCCTCTACCTAGGATCGAACTCACAGCCTCCTGATTGTGAGGCAAGAGCTCCACCTCCAGGCCACCGCGCCGTTCCTAATTCCCCAGCCGGCAAGGATGGGATTAAAATTGACATTCTCCTCCACCCAAATTCTAAGAACAGGATATAAGCCTCAGGACACAATAGGATTAACCCACCACCATTTAGCAAAAGACACAAGCCCCTTCTCATTGCACAACCCCCCCCCACCAGAACAGTTCAAACTTCAAAAGTCACAGAAACCTATAAAGATCCACCCGCTCATTCAACCATTTCTTCAGCTGACCCAGAACCGCATGCTGCGTGGTTCTGTTCATCATTAAACCTTCTTTCCAATCAGCCTCCAAGTTGTTTCCAGCGTCTTTCTCCCAGCTTGGAACTGAACCAGGTGGGTGGATTTTCCTTCCAAGACTCTTCAAGGGTAGCCCCGCAGAGAGCGTGTTGCAGTCGTCCAGACGGGTCACTGATCCGAGGAATGGGCCTGCGTTTCAGCTTGAAGTGCTTCGTTTGGGGCATTAGCCCCACACACCCACCCCATGGAGAAATTCCCTCCCAGGGTCAATGCCTTCTGCTCCTCCTGAGTGCGGTTCTTGATTTCGCAACAGGCATTTCTCTCAAGGACGTTCCTGCAGAGTGAAGACTTAGAACTTAGAATAAACTTTATTGTCACTTTGAATGTACACGGATCGGCATACATTAAAATGAAATTTCGTTACATGCAGCTCTCAAAGGGTTACCACCGCCAATAGACACTACATAAACATAACAAGATAGAGATAGATAGATAGATAGATAGATAGATAGATGGATGGATAGTTAGTTAGAGGTAGATATAGATATAGATAGATAGAATAGATAGAGATAGAGGTAGATAGAGATAGATAGTTATAGAGATAGTTATAGATATATAGATAATTAGAAAGATATAAATAGAGATAGATAGAGATAGAAATAGATAAGTTATAGTTGTAGATATATAGAGAGATAGAGATAGAGATAGTTAGATATAGATAGATAGATAGAGATAGAGATAGATAGATAGAGATAAGATAGATAGATAGATAGATAGATAGATAGATAGATAGATAGATAGATAGATGATACAAAATTATGCAGGTACCCAAATATATGACATGGAGAGACAACACACTCTAGTTCGGAGGTATACATGTACATGGCGAGAAAAACAAATCTTGCGAGTTTAGCACCAGACAGATGGTGTAGGGACCAAAGCTGTTACAGAATCTGGTAGTCCTGCTAGAAATACTTTGAAACCTCCTCCCAGAGGGGAGCAACAGAAACAGGTCGTAAAGTGGGTGTGTGGGGTCTCTAACAACGCTTTGAGCTCTAAGCATATAGCGCTTATAAACGGTATCCTGAAGAACGGGAAGCGAGCTTCCTATAATCTTCTCCGCTGTCCTCACCACTCTCTGTAGGGACTTTCTATCTGAGGCACTGCTGCCGCCAAACCAAGAAGTAATCATGCGGCTCATTAAAATGCTCCCCATTGTGGCTCTGCAAAAAGTAGCCAGGACAGAAGGAGAAAGATATGCTCTCCTCATCCGATGCAGGAAATGCAGATGGTGCTTTGCATGCTTCACTAAGGATGATGTGTGAAGAGACCAATTCAGATTGTTAATTATTTGCACCCGCAGGTACTTAATACTGTTGACCAGTGGCGAAATCTAATTTTTTTTTTTACTACCGGTTCCGTGGGCGTGGTGTGGCTTGGTGGGCATGGCAGAGGAAGGATACTGCAAAATCTCCATTCCCACCCCACTCCTGGGTAACTTGGAATGCTGTAAATGAACTGTTGTAAGTCAAGACTACCTGTAGTTGCTACGTAGGAGTCAATAGTGACCGAAAGACACACAAAAAAGAAAAATGTACCTAAAACCATGATGTCTCTTGCAGAATAATTAAATGAATTTCTTTAAAAAAAATACTAACTTGACATTAGCTCGAGTACAACTTAATCCTTTGTGAATATTGTTTTTTTTATTGCTATTTTTCTGCTGATACGTAAAGCAGATCCTGAAAATAAGACAAGAGGGTAGAGTTCTATTTCAGCTTCATTTCATTGTGTCTTGTATTCTCCGCGAGTCTTCCCACTGTGAAACTCAATTCATTCACACATTCAGAGAGAGGCATTTGACCCAAGGTGACCCTATCAATTGACAGCCTAATCAATGGCGCCATTTACCTGAAAAAACAATGCACAACTAGTTGCAAAAGGCGGAAAAATCATCACATTCACTTTTTTATTTTATTTATTTATTTATTTAACAATTGATTTATTCTATTTTTTTTTGCTCGCAGCCTTCAGATAAATGCAATTTTCAGGCACTAATTTAAACTTGCAGTGAAGCTTAGCTTTATTTTTCAGAGAATCTGGCCTTTAGCCCGAATAAACTATACCTCCCTCTATTTTTAAAACTGGTATCATTTGAGAAAAAGATTTTAAAATAATAAAACTAAGTTTTCCAAATTTTCCCCATTCCGACGTGACTATACCGTTCACGTGAAAAGACAGACCCGTTTGTACCTTTGGCTCCACCCGCCACCTGCTATCGCCATTCTCATTGGTTGTCATTATTCCCGCCACCTGTCCTTGGACCCACCCTCTAACCCCCGCCTCCCTTACGTCATTGACTCCACCCCGCCACCTGCTATCGCCATTCTCATTGGTTGTCATTATTCCCGCCCACCTCTCCTTGAACCCGCCCTCTAACCCCCGCCTCCCTTACGTCATTGATTCCACCCCGCTACCTGCCATCGCCCTTCTCATTGGTCTTCATCATTAATTATTCCCGCCCACCTCTCCTTGGACCCGCCCTCTCCCCTCTCCCTTACGTCATTGACTCCACCCCTGCTTTCCACGTATCGTTCCCCACTCCTCTCTACCTTGCGGCGCTTACGTCGAGCGATCTATCCCCGCCCCTTTCGGCGTCCTCGCCCTATGGGTTCTTATCCCGCCTTCCCGCCGCTCCATCCTGGGGCCCTCATTGGCTACCGGAGAATCTCCCTAGTGGATACTTTCACGCCCCTTTCTGATTGGCCGGCCGCTCTCTTCCCGGCGCACCAATCGGGTGTCGAGTTACCTCAGGAGCGTTATCCTCGCTGAGGCTTGAGGCAGCCGAGACCTGTCAGAAGCCGAAGCGGCGCGATGGCGGGTCGAGGCGCGGCTTGGAGGCCGTGGCTTCCGCTCCTTTTGTTGCTCGTGTGGCGGGGCTGCGGGGTCCGGGCGGCGGTGCATATCAAGAAAGCCGAGGCCGCTTCTTTTTCTTCTTCTTCTTCTTCCTCGGAGGCCCCGCATTACTTGGACGACGCCGAGCTGGGCGAGACGCTGAGGCGGATTTCTGAGGAAGAAGCTCCGCGAGGCCTGGCGCGGCGCTTCTCCATCGGCCGCTCCAACGAAGGGCGCGAGCTGTGGGTGCTGCGCCTCAGCGAAGGCCTCCCGGGCGGGGACGGCGGCGGCGGGCCTCCCTTGGCGGGCCGCCCTCAGGTGAAGCTGGTGGCCAACATGCACGGCGACGAAACGCTGGGCCGGCAGTTGCTGGTCCGCCTGGCCCGGGAACTGGTGGCCGGCTGGGCCCGCGGGGATCCCCGAGCCCGCCGCCTCCTCAACGCCACCGACCTCTTCCTCCTGCCCAGCCTCAACCCGGACGGCTTCGCGCGATCCCGGGAAGGGGACTGCCAGGGTGTCGGCGGGCGGGAGAACGGACGGGGCCGCGACCTCAACCGCAGCTTCCCCGACCAGTTCGCAACCTCACAGCTGGATCTGGCCGACGTGCCCGAAGTGCGCGCGCTGATGGAGTGGATGCGGCGCAACCGGTGAGGAGGAGGAGGAAGGAAGGAGCGCACGTGGGGGGCGGGGCTTGCCGGGCCTGCGCTTTGAAGCGCCGCCTTGTTCCTAGGGGTGGCCACGCCCCTCGGAGGTGGGCGGGGCAGCTCCTGCTTTAGGGTTTTGTGTGTATAGATGTGTGTGTATATGTATTATATATGTATATATGGGGTGTGTATCTGTTATCTATCTCTATCCATCAATCCATCTGTCTGTCTGTCCATCATATCTCATCTATATCTATCATATATCCATCCATATCTATCTATCCATCCATTCATCCATCTATCTGTCTGTCTGTCTGTCTGTCCGTCCATCCATCCATCATCTCTTTCATCTATATCTATCATATATCCATCCATATCTATCTATCTATCTCTATCCATCCATCTGTCATCTATCTATCTGTCTGTCCATCCATCCATCATCTCTCATCTATATCATATATCCATCCATCCATATCTATCATCTATCTACCTATCTATCTATCTATCTATCTATCTATCTATCTCCATCAATCCATCCATCTGTCATCTATCTGTCTGTCTGTCCATTCATCCATCCATCATCTCTCTCTCATCTATATCATATATCCATCCATATCTATTATCTATCTGTCTATCTATCCATCCATCCATCCATCCAATCTCTCTCCTATCAATCTATCTATCTACACCGTGTTTCCCCGAAAATAAGACCCTGTCTTATATTTTTTTGAACCCCGAAATAAGCACTTGGTCTTATTTTCAGGGAGGTCTTATTTTTGGGGGGCACCAGAGGAGGAAACCAGACGAAATAGTGGAGACTGGCTACGTATATATTTAAATATTTTTGGGGAGGACTTATTTTCGGGGGGGCTTATTTTAGTGCTTGTGCTCAAAAGCCCGATTGGGCTTATTATCAGGGAATGTCTTATTTTAGAGGAAAGAGGGTTTATGTATATGTGTATGTATACCCTGTTTCCCCTAAAATAAGACATCCCCTGATAATAAGCCCAATTGGGCTTTTGAGCATGTGCACTAAAATAAGTCGTCCCCCCCCCGAAAATAAGCCCTCCCTGAAAATATTTAAACGCATGCACAGCCGGTCCCCGCCATTTCCTCTGGTTAGGGTTAGGGAGACAGAGCTGGAAATCAGGTACGATGGCAAGAAGAGCCCCGTCTTGCTCCACGTGCCTCAAAATAATAAGACCTCCCTGAAAATAAGGCCAAGCGCTTTTTTCAAAAAAATATAAGACACGGTCTTATTTTCGGGGAAACACGGTAATATATATATATTAAACCAGAAGTTGTACTGCCCAACTAAGAGGGGTGTGCCCACCACAACTAGGAATAAGGCAGCACTTACATATAATTTTGTGTGTGTGTGTGTACACACATATGTACATACATGCATACACACACACATAGTCCTTGACTGACAAGTTCATTTAGTGACCATTCGAAGTTACAACGGCACTGAAAAGTGACATGACCAAGGGGATGCTGCAACAGTTATATGTGTGAAAAATAATCATGTCACTCAATGTCATTGTAACTTTATTAGTTACAATGTTATGGTTATTGGTGTAAGTCAAGGCACACACACACACGCATGTATGTGCATATATATATATGTGTGTGTGTATGTATATAAAAGAATATTTGTAACTCAAGGTTGGCATGAGGGGTCCTTGGTGCTCCCTGAGCTTGCTTGTTTTCTTGCAGACATTTCATGACCCATCTAGGTAACATCATCAGTGCTAGTAAGGAGTTTGCTGTCAGTTTATATTCTTGTGTCTTGCCCTGTCAGTGTTGGTGGGGGTGGTCTTAGAGATTCTTTGGTTGAACTGCTTCCTGTTGGCTTCTTCGGCAGTTTCTTGATTGGGGTAATGTTTACTTGATTGGTGGTCTGATGTTAACCTTGGAGTTAATCTATGCTGATTTGGGTGCTGATTGCTGATGGAGAGGTGCTTCCGGGTTTTTTGCTTCCTTTTGGGGCTGAGTGATAGTCTCTTTTGCCTAGTCCAGTAATGGCGAACCTCTTCAGCACTGAGTGCCCAAACCGGAATCATGTGCATGCACGCATGCTGGAGCGCTGGAAACCCGAAGACCAGCTGGCCAGCGTGTGCATGCCCGTTTTTCAGGCCGTTTTCCAGTGCTCCAGCGTCCACAAAGACCAGGTGGCCAGGGTGCATGTGTGCCCCAGAAACCAGAAGAGCAGCTGTCGACGGCGCACGTGCCCACAGAGGACTCTGTGTGCCACCTCTGGCACACGTGCCACAGGTTCACCATCACGGCTCTATAAGTTAGATAAACTTGATTGTCATTTTTTTTGCATGCACAATGGCTCATCTTGAAATGAAATGTTGATGCACCTCAATAACTTAAGACCGTCAGTGTACCTAATATTCCTTCTTCCTCCTGTTTTCCCCAAAATAACAACCCTGTGAGGTGGGTTGGGCTGAGAGGGAGGGACTGACCCAAAGTCACCCAGTTGGATTTCATGCCTAAGGTCGGACTAGAACTCACTGGCTCCTGGTGATTGGCTCAAAGCCACCAAACTGCCTTTCATGGCTAAGTGTGAACTGGAACTCCCAGTCTCCTTTTTGACGTGCATATGAGTCCTATTTTCTCTTACAATAATCTTTAAAAAATTGGATGTGGGGGGTCACCCATGCAGCTTATTAGCTGGGGAGGGAACACAACCTGGGTCTCCCTACTCCTAGTCAAGTATTGCAATTTCTCCACCACCCTGCAATGGTTCTGAGGCTGATAGTGAGGGACTTGTGTAGAATCCCCCAAGGAGCTGAGAGGAGATAGAATGTGGGTCTGCCTGCTCCTCGTTAAGCTCCTTCATTGCCATATCAAGCAGGCCAAGCGAGAGGAATAGAGTAGAACAGAGCTGAAAGGGGCCTTGGAGGTCTTCTAGTCCAACCTCTGGTCAAGCAGGAGAACCTATACCATCTCAGATAAGTGACTGTCTAGACTCTTCTTAAAAACCTCCAGTGATGGGGCACTCACAACATCTGGTGGCAAGCTGTTCCATTGGTTAATTGTCCTCACTGTTAAGAAGTTTCTCCTCAATTCCAGAGTTTCCATCCGTTGTGTCTTGTCTTGCCTTCAGGGAGAAGAGGTTGACCCCCCTCTTCTTTGTGGCAGCCCCTCAAATACTGAAATAGAGTCCCCCAGGACTCTCTTTATTTATTTAAATCTATATGTCGCCCATCTCATTGATAACATGACTCTAAGAGGCTTACAGACAGTAAAACAACCTTTTTAATATGTCCTAACAGTGAGGACAATTAATCAGTTGTGGGTCCTTCATCACTGGAGGTTTTTAAGAAGAGACTGGACAGTCACTTGTCTGAAATGGTATAGGGTCTCTTGTTTGAACGGGCTGGATTAGAAGATCACCCAAAGTGCCTTCCAGCTCTATTCTGATTGATTGATTTCCTTACAAATGCTTCAGTTTTAAAAGTAGCCTATAAATAAATTAGTGAAGGAATTAATAAACGTGAATCCTGTCAATAATTTTTCAATATATAATGTAATTATTATTATTATTATTAATGTTATTATTATTATTATTATTTATTAGATTTATATACCGCCCTACTCCCGAAGGACTCAGGGCAGTGAACAGCCGATAAAACATATACAATATAAAATTTAAAAAAACAATTCAAAATGTATTAAATAAATTTGGCCCATACTAATTAAAACACCCCTATTTTTAAAAATAAATTAAAATTAACCAATTAAAAAAGTTAGGCCAGCCCAGCTTGTTGGAATAAAAAAGTCTTGAGGGCGCAGCGGAAGGTGTGTAAATCCGGGATCCTTCGTATCTCCGGGGGGAGTTCGTTCCAAAGGGCAGGTGCCTCCACAGAGAAGGCTCTCCCCCTGGGGGCCGCCAGTCGACACTATTTGGCCGACGGCACCCTGAGGAGCCCCTCTGTGGGAGCGTACTGTCTGGTGAGAGGCTACCGGTGGCAGAAGGCGGTCTCGTAGGTACCCAGGTCCTGAACCATGGAGCGCTCTAAAGGTGGTAACCAATACCTTGAAGCGCACCCGGAAGACCACCAGGAGCCAGTGCAGCTCGCGCAGGAGAGGTGTTACATGGGAATGCCATGTCGCTCCCATAACTATCCGTGCGGCTGCCTTCTGCACCAGTTATAGCCTCCGAGTGCTCCTCAAGGGGAGCCCCATGTAGAGAGCATTGCAGTAGTCCAGGCGGGAAGTGATGAGGGCGTGAGTGACCGTGCATAAGGAGTCCCGATCCAGAAAGGGACGCAACTGGCGAATCAGGCGAACCTGATAAAAAGTCCCCCTGGCCACAGCCGTCAGATGTTCTTCTAAAGACAGCCGTGAGTCCAGGAGGACACCCAAGTTGCGAGCCCTCTCTGTGGGGGCCAGCGACTCGTCCCCAATAGTCAGTGATGGCACCAACTGGCTATATCGGGACGCCGGAAACCACAGCCACTCGGTCTTGGACGGGTTGAGCCTGAGTCTGTTTCTCCCCATCCAGATCCGCACAGCCTCCAGGCACCGTGACATCACTTCAAGGGCATCATTGGGGTGGCCCGGGGTGGAGATGTACAACTGAGTGTCATCAGCGTACTGGTGGTACTTCACCCTGAAACCACGGATGATCTCACCCAGTAGCTTCACATAAATGTTGAACAGAAGGGGCGAGAGAACCAACCCTTGTGGCACCCCACACACAAGGCGCCTCAGGGTCGATCTCTGCCCCCCTGCCAACACCGACTGGTTGTTGAACACCAGAACACCAATGTTCTGGTTGGCACACAGCAATTTCTTCAAAAGAATTCTTTTGATGCCAGCTCGCTTAACATTGAAAGGTATCATATCCTTTTTGTACTGCTGGAAAGAAAGTAACTAAAAGAGCCAATATTTAAATAGAATCTCCTTATCTGCTGCAATCGATCCACTATATTTAGAGCATTCCCCCTTTTTCATTGTGAGGTTACATAGCTTTCAGGTATCCATTGACATTTCTGCAATTTGCTGTGGCTGATTCAAACACAACTACTTTGGTAGGAAAATAAATACTCCTTACCTCCAAACTGCTGAGATTTTTATTATTGTTGTTCTGTTTCGTTTTTGTTTTTTTTAAATACAGGTTTGTGCTTTCTGGGAACTTTCATGGGGGAACTGTTGTTGCAAGCTATCCATTTGATGACTCAAAGTCGCACAAGTCCTCTGGGATATACAGTAAATCGGCTGACGACGAAGTTTTCAAATACCTAGCCAAAGCCTACGCATCAAACCATCCCATCATGAAAACAGGCACCCCAAACTGTCCTGGGGAAGAGAAAGAAACCTTCAAAGATGGCATCACCAACGGAGCTCAGTGGTATGATGTAGCAGGTAGGTTGCGCAACTTGACTTGACTGCCAGCTAATGGATCGGAGCCTTTCGATGTAGAGCGGCATAGATAATGTTGGAAATAAACTGCCTTATAGAGAAATACGCTACCGAAAAGGAAGTATCCTAGCAACAGGGCCAGTTGTGGCTATTTGATTCTGCTTGTTTAAATGTCATTGTTGTACACAGTAAAGCAATATATCAAGAAACCATCGGGTTTAACTAGTATAACTAATCCTCGAGTTACAACCACAATCGAGCCCAAAATTTATGTTGCTAGGTGAGACATTTAATTGAGTTTTTCCCCCCTTTACGACTTTTCTTGTCACCGTTGTTAGGTGAATCATTGCAATTGTTAAGCCAAAGCACTTGTATGGCTTGTTTGGGCATTTTGCAATTGGTTGAGGTTTCCTCTGGATCTGCAAAGTTAGAAGAATGCTATACATTACACTTGAAGATGGATGGATGGATGCAGCTGGTCTTATTCTGATTAATATTGGAAACACATTGTCTTGCAAGTAACCTTTCCCTGGAGAATGTCGGCTTTATGAGGAATAACTGGCACTTTGAATTGTGCTCAGAAGTAAACCATCAAACCACTGCAGCTTGTGAAGCAGAAGTGTTACATGGGCATATTGAGTCATGCCCACCCCTGCACTTAGGACCAGTTGATGTTTCTGGGGGGGTCTTCAAGGGTAGCCCACGTAGAATGTGCTGCAGTAGTCAAGCTGTAACTGACAAGAAATGAATGATGGTCTGAAAGTCTCTTTGATCCAGGAAGCAGTAAATCTGTCTCCTTCAGTATCTGCCTAGGTAGTTAGATCCTGCAGGGTTGGGACATTTCCAATACCTTCAATTAAATATCATCTATTGGAACCCTAGAAATATTCCTTCTGTAGTAGAACCTAAAGAATGAGTCCCCCCCCAAAAAAAAACCCCTACACACACACACACAGACACACACACACACACACACACACACACACACACACAGTATTCTGCTTGTAAGAACCATGAAGCCCTGGTTATTCATCCAGGCCTTTCACAAGGAAGAATGAGACCCAGGCTTCTGTTGCAATAATTTATGAAATACTCAACTGCTAGGATAGATTGCAAAAGCACATAGAAGAGCAGGTAAACATGGAGAATATTATATTCCAATCTTATGAATAGTAAGGTTTCTTTATGAAGAAAAGTAGATATGTTGAGGCATTTAACACATTAGAGAAAAACATTACAAAATCTGTTGTGCTGATGTCTCTATGTGTGACAGGTATTTTCATGGCTAATTATGTGCTTTCGATGTTGCTGTTGATTGAACAAAGGATTGCATATACTGTATGTTATGCCAATGGTTAGCTTTGGTAAAGCAGCTGAACAAGCATGTTCAATTAGTTAAAATTATTTGTGATCCTGAAAATACATTCAGCATCACAAAGAACATCTAGATCTAACTGAAAGAATGTTTAAAAATATCTGTACAGGATGTGTTTGGTAGCTGATTTCTAATATAATAGACATTTCTATGTAACCTCAACCTATATATTCCTGATTTCTTTTTTTGCAATTCTGCAGTTGGTTTTGTTGTCTTTAATACTGTATGTGTGTAGGGGTAGGGTGTGGGGTTTTTTTTTGATAATTTTCTATTAAAGTTTAAATAATATAATTGTTTTACATTTTGTAAGCTGCCTAGAAATAGTAGCTTTAATTTAGCCTATAAATTTGATTAAATTAAAAATGGATTGAATTAAGTATGACTTGTTGCTAAGTGTTTAGATTTAGGATTTAGAGTCTCTTTATATTATTCTTTATGTTGGGTTAAAGAAGCATACATATTTTTTATTCTAATTAAATGCTCTAAACCTACATTCTGATTTCTTTTTCAATGACTTCATCTAAAATAGTGATAAACAGACATTTCCACATTTCAAAGTCTAATTATCAAAATAAAATAAAATTAGTTCATTGTTATCAATGGAAAAGAAATAATATTTTGAAGCCATAAATTATGCCTATTAATAGTTTTATATAAGGACTTCATTAATTTTGTCATAAGTAAGATAGGTGGGTGTCAGATCTAATGAGAAAAATAACTTTTTATCTTAATAAAGCTAAAGATTTAATTGTAATAATTTAAAATTTAATAATTTAGTCAGCAGATTTTTACATTGGCCAAATGTCTTAAATAAAGCCATCTCTTTTTATCAGTAATCATTATCTCCTTTTCCTGTTATAGCCCCCATTTCTCTCTCTCTCTTTCATCATAGCGAACACACCCAAATAGTGGAATAAGATATGAGCTAATTATATTTACAAGGATTGCTGGGTTTAATGTACCGTACAAGGAAATAGAATGAGTAAATAATTGTAAAACTTAAAATTATTACTCAGCTCAAACAGGATATCCTTGAAGAAGCATAATTTCTTTTTTTTGTATTTACAAATACATCTGTTAGGTAGAAAACTATGAATTGTCAGTTAATTCTTTGCTATCATAACAGGAAAATTTATTTATTATTTATTTATTTATTCATTTATTGATGAGATTTATATGCCGCCCTATCTCCAGCCGGACTCAGGGTGGCTCACAACAGTAAAATACATCTAATGAAAAAGTTAAAAAGAAATTAAATCCAAAACGCACATTTTATATATAACAAGCAGTGTGATGCCCTCTAGGTATTTTGAAATAAAAGTCCCACAATCCCTCATCACTTATCATAAGGCTCCTGATGGGAAACATTTTTTTAAAGTATACTGCTATAATTCACAACATCTGACAATAAACAAGAACAACATTAAAATATCACAAACCTAAAACTCAAAAACCTGCTATATTTTATGGCAGCAGTAATAATACTTGAAACAAAGGTTAGCTTTTGCGTCTCTGTTTTCCTTTTTCTTTTTCCTTCTACTTCATTTTCTTATATGCAATATGTTTTTAAATTGTAGTTCTTTTTAAAAATGTATATCACAGACACCAGCTGTTCCCAACTGTGTTTCCTGATTCCTGCTTTTTTGTGCTTCACAGCATTTATTGGGTAAAAACCTTGCAATCTGTTTCTCTCTTCATTAAAATAATTATAATATGACAAACTGCTCACTTTTATAAGCAGATCTGTTAGTATATGTGAACTTCAAAACTTGTGTGCTTGCTTAAGAGAAAAACTTCCTTGGCACTGTAGTATTTACAGTACCTCTTTAAGTCCTTTAGACATTTTCCCATGTTACATAAAGCTAATTATCTACTTGGAAAATTCCCACGGCTGCCCATCTTGGATGTGAATACTGAGAGCCTAACAATTGAAAATTGAAACAATATAATGAAATCTCTACCATTCTAGACAAAAGACACAACACTAAAATACTCATAGCACACTAACCCAGCCACACCTATATTAAGCTCAACTAGCATTCTGGCTCGGTGTCTGGGTTTTAGCCAGGTCTTTGGGAAAGCCAGGGGACCTTCTGGATCAGGGGTCCCCAACCCCAGGTCTGCAGCGTGCCAGAAACAGGGCCACGCAAACAAGTGAAACCCCATCTGTGGGATGCAGGCAGCATGCAAAACCACGCCACGTCCAGTACACGGAAGAACCGCTCCATGGATCCAGTCCCTGGCACCCCAAAGGTTGGGGTCCGCTGTTCTAGATCTCAGGGGGCAAATTTCTACATGGCAGATGCTGCAGTAGACAAGGCATGATTCCTTGGTCCAGTAAGATGAGACATTGCTTAACCCAGGGGTGTCAAACTCAAGGGCTACGGGGTGCTTAGATCCAGCCCATGGGGCCAGCCTGGAAATATCAAAGGACAGGCCTGCGATGTCTTGGCCAGCCAAACCGGGCCATGTGCGCCCCCCCTCCCCACAGCCCATTTTCTGCCTCCCTGGCCTCCTGCAGCACTCAACTAGTCAAAAATGGGCTGCACAGCCCGTTTTTGGTCAGCAGAGTGCTGCTTGAGGCCAGGAAGGCCAAACACAGGCTGCATGGGGGCCTTGGGAGGCCTCCACACAGCCCGTTTTTGGATGGCAGAGTGCTGTTAGAGGGCATGGAGGGTGAAAATGAGGCACGGGGGGGCGCGTGTGGCCCCCATGCCCCGTTTTGGCCAATAAAGTACTGCAAGAAGCCATTCAGGCCAAAAACGAGGCCCCAACTCAGAGCTGAAGAAGCTTCTTGGATGAGAAGCGAAACGTCTTCAATGAAAAATTAGAAAGTCCAGTTGCCTCTTCAAAAAATCCACCTTTGGGACAACCATGACCTGGATGGCAGAGAAGCTCCATAGACTCCCCCCATCCTTGTTTTCCAAAGGCCCTCTACAAATGACTCAGTACTATACCTGGCAGGAGCCCCAACCAGAAAGGATGCAGACAATCTGTTTCCTCAAAAACCATCGTGAATTGCGATCACATGACTGTGGGATGCTGCAAACTTCCTTTGCAGCAAATATAAGTATTTTGTAATTGCAAGGTTATCTCTTACTGTTATGATTACAAAACATACTAATTATTTCCATTATCTAGATCTTTTTTCCTAATCATCAAAGCCACAAATTGCTTTTTTTTTATTTCATGCAAAAAAAATCTACACAAGGTTTCCAGTCATAAATATATTGTCTTTTCTCTGATCAAAGAAGTCAAGTTAGCCATCTGTGCAAACTCCAACATTTTCACCGACTATTCCTGTATTGAGGGTAGAATTGAACTTTCCCACTTTTGAGCATATAGTAATCCCACCACAGTTGTCCTCTATAAAAACATAATTCTGTGAGTGTTTTCTAGCTGTTTGTCCATTGAAAGTTACAGCATTGTTGTAACTGCGAATAGTTGCTAAATGAGGCAGTTGCTAAATGAACACTGCACGTATATTTTTTTAACGTTGCATTTTAAATGTGCCAAGAACAAGGATTTGCTATATGACTTTGCTATAAGAGCAAAATTTCATATTTGTCCAGGGTGCACTTTCATCTGTTTATCTTTTTACTGCCAAATTTGGCCCTCCTGCTTTGAAATCTGGAAAAGTTATTTTGCTAACCTTAAGAGCTAATGTCATGTTAAATTAGCATTGGAACAGAGACACCTTGTTTTTCAAGTTCTGATTAACTTTCTTTGGGACTTTGGATAGGTACATTTTTTAGATAGGTACATCTTAACCTACTTAATAGGAGTGTAATAATGATAAAAATGGGAGGGACATGCACTTTATTATTAGTTTTTCAAAAAATGTGTGTGTATGAGTGTATGTATGAATCTACAATCCCACTCTTTAAATTGAGTGAGGGATAAAAATTATATGAGATAGTAAAATGCCTCAGACATAATGAAAAATCAGGACTCCTACTTATTAACCTGTTAAGGTTTTTTTGTAAACATGATCACATATGACAAATAGGGAAGCTGCATGATCTCAAAATTCCAATTGTTATTTTTAAAGTAGCAGATACCTTTCTGTTTTTTCCCCTCCTAAACGGTCCTTTGTTTCTTTGAAAGTTGAGACCTTTTTTTTTCATTTGCACAAATGGGTTTTCCTGCCTACTGAAAAATACTAATTTGAAATCATGTGAAGAGAAGTCTGTTGATGCAAAAGATTGTTCTTTGCTTCATTATTTCACGATTCTTTCTTTAAATTCCTTAGGTGGAATGCAAGATTATAACTATGTTTGGGCTAACTGCTTTGAGGTCACATTTGAACTTTCCTGTTGCAAATACCCACCAGCTTCTCAGCTTGAGCAAGAATGGCTGAATAACCGGGAATCTTTGCTCACTTTCATTGAAAAAGTAAGATTTGACTTTAACTCTCTTCTTGACTATGTTTGCCAAACAATCCATGTATATTTGAGTCTGTCTTTGTTCTGGAAAATGAAAAGACTTTATTCATCTTGGTCAGGGTGTTTTTTGCCTGCAGATTTTGAATATGCTTCTTGTTAGTCAGAATGTCAGCTCTGCCTAATCCCTTTTGACTCATAAATTGGATCAAGTACACAGTTTTTAAGGTTTGTATTATTGTGGTAGACCAAAATTCAGGCAACATTTAAAGAGAAGGAAGTGTCACTGATCCATGTTTGAATTTCTTTGTTTCAAATCACAAAAAGACTTTGGTTTAGAGATATATACTAAGCTGTAATAATAAGCATGTTTGGTTTTAGCAATTTTGTAATTCCAGTTAATTGTATCCTATTTATTAAATTAATGGCTAAGCAAGCCATAATCAGATCTGTATTAATCAGATCTTTGTCTCAGTTTCTTATCACTCTTAACACATTTAACAATTACCCAACTAAGCAGGGAATAAGTATTTTTTTTTCCTCTCTCAAGTTCTTTTTCTTTCATTTGCCCAGAGTAAAGGTATTTGGTTGGATCTTCACAAGCTTTATCCAGTGTCACTTGTATTATCTAAATTCTCTCAGGTTTTTCACTGTAGCTCTGTGTGTGCTAAGAAATATTCAAATATCCTCAAAAATACTTTATCTCAAGAGTTACACGTAGTTCTTTCAAAGTTTCTTTCTGTCCTGATCTCTCTCTCATATCTAAAGTCAACACTGATAATTATTCACACATCAGACTAAATGGTGTTTCTTGTATTCAGCTATTGATTACAGGTAATTCTCGATTTACGACCACAATTGAGTCCAAAATTTATGAGAAGTGAGAAATTTGTTAAGCGAGTTTTGCCCCATCTTACGACCTTTCTTGCCACCATTGTTAAGTGAATCACTTCAGTTGTTAAATTAGTCACATGGTTGTTAAGTGAATCTGGCTTCCCCATTGACTTTGCTTGTCAGGTTTCAAAAGGGGATTACACGATCCCGGGATGCACAACTGTCATAAATCTGAGTCAGTTGCCAAGTGTTTGAATGTAAATGTCAGGGATGCCTCCCTTCAGACCCTAAGAAAGAAACCCCCTGACTCCATTGATTTAGAGAAGAGGTACCCGTACTTTTACTAAGAATGAACTGATAGCAGCAAAAGCAAGGCAAGATCTGAAACAAACCACCTGAAAGTTACACATTGAAAGTCACCCCAAGTCCCTCTCCCCGGGGTCCCAGCACCAAGAGGCCAACCAACGACCAGTAAGATATTATGGGAAAGCTCCTCTGCAGGTATTTCTCACCCCTGGGGTCTCAGGATGGTTAGCCATGAAGAAGTATAAACAATTCCACTCAGCACGCGTGAGTGCAAACCTCCCATCCAGTTCTCATGGGATGGCTCACTTCCCCATCCCAAATGCCCAACGCCCCCCTCCCCCTTTCTATGGCAGCCAAGAGCAAGCAAACGTCAGGAAACCATGCTGGAGATCCGGCTTACATGTAAGTCTGATGACCATAATGATGCTGCAATGGTCATTAGTGTGAAAAATGTTCATAAATCACTTTTTTCAGTGCCATTGTAACTTCAAACGGTCGCTAAATGAACTGTTATAAGTTGAGGACTACCTGTATTAGAGTCAAGTATATGCAAACCCTACCTTTCAAGGTCTGATTAAAGAATGGCTGATCATGGAGCCAACCACTGACTATACAGACTTGATATATTAAGCCATTCCATGGATTTACAATTCAGATTATTGTATCCTAATCCTAGAAACTTCATCACTTCGGTGGTTGTGAATCACAATCAGTATTCTTTGGGGGTTGGAACTAATCTGTGTAATCTGTGGTTAGAATTTAGAATAACTTTATTGCCACTTTGAATGTACACTAATCAGCATACATTAAAATGAAATTTCGTTGCATACAACGAAATGGTTCAGGGTGTTGTCCAGATCTAGACGAAAGGATTAGCTCTGCTTAAAGAGTCATTTGTCCTTGAATGTAGCACGGAGTGCTGGCAATGTTGAGCTGCTCATAAGTCGGCAATAGCATTGATAATTTTCTTTTTTCAATAATTATAACTGCATAAGAACCCCCTTTCAATATCAGAGGAGCTAAAGGAAAAATGAGTTTTCATCCAACCTGCACCTGTCATCTATTTGTTGTGCATATACTAAAATTATCCCGAAAGTTGCAGCCTGACAGTCACCACAAGGTTGCTGAAGTATCAGTTAAAACAGGGACAGATCATGGTTTGTCACTGTTTTCAGCATTACTGTTTTTTACAGGTCTCAGGGAATTAGTCACCCTGTCATACACTGCAGAGCAGAGCACTCAGGTATCTCAATCCGTTGCATGAAATCCTTTAGGCATGGAAATAGTTTTCTTTCATCTGAGTTCCCCGAGGAGAGGGTCTTTATTTTTAAACCAAATGGCTTAAGGCATATGAAACCTGCCTGAACTTGTTCTGATAATTCACTCTGCCAGGGTATAGTGATCGTGTGTATAAATCTCTTCTCTTTTTCATCTTTTACAGAAATATTTAGGACCATGCATAAAACACATTTAGAAACCGTAACTGTAAAGTCTAAAATATTGATATCTTATCCTGAGGCTGTCTTTTGCTCCCTCTTTATTATAGTTTCAGCTCCTGTTGCCTACTCTGTTTGGTGAGACCAACTGGGTGATTTTGAGCCAGACTCTCTTTGTCAGCCTAGTTCAACTCACAGGATGGTTGGGGGGGGGGGAAGGGGGGGAAAATGAGTATTATTTATATCTGTCAAATTTATATGCTACCCATCTCAACAAAAGTGACTCTTTATTTGAGTAACTTATAAAGTAATAAAGACAGGATAAAAATTTAATAAATAAATAAAAGGCATAGTATTGTTTATTTCCCACAAGGGCTCTGTTGAGGATGCTTTCCGGCCATGTCCTCATAAATCAATAGTTGACTTTGTATAAATAGCAGCAATTGGCCATAAATTTATTGATACCTTCCTCAGTCTTTTAGCCGTGGAAGAAATTCTTTCACTTTACTCTGTGAGCTTCTTAATATGTGCTCTGTCTTAAGCTCTTTTATGAAATGGAAGCAAAATATATTCAACCCCACCAAGGTATAAAAAAGTAGGCTACTGCCTCACTGCGAAGCGACAACCCATTATTAGATAGTTACGTCACATCAGAGAAGAAATGATGTAATGAAGAAAGACAACTCTGTCTCATTTGTTTTATTAATGAATAGTAAATAATGCTGAATATGAAATCAGTACAAAGTAACACAATAATATTAGATAACAAATATTTTAACGTAACATTCCCTTTTATACCTGCCAGTTGCCACATGAATATTTATTGAAGTTCCTGTCGATAGCCCTAAAATAATGATGTGCTTTGCATACTTTCTTGAACTTAATTTTATATTTTAAAGCCACATGAATTCACCATCTGTTTTGAGTGAAGCATTTTGACAGAAGCACTGCACAAAAATGGCATGTTTATCTGTAAGATTGGGCTGAGTTGATTCATCTTTTGGCTTTTGTAAGCATGACTCAAAAACACACATCCTCTTTGTTTTTCTTGGCATTTTGTTTTTTGAAAGACAGCCTGTGTTCCGTTTCAGTAGCTGTGACAGAAACAATCCCCTGGTTACAGAAAAAGAAATCTGAAACTGTGAACATAGCTGATATGTTTCCTTCAATCTAAAGATTAATGTAGATGCTTTTTCTAGTATACTGAACTTTATGTAGAAGAATTCATAATATAGAAATTCACAGGAATACTGTCAAGTTACATGTATGTCGGTGCACTAGTTTTGATTTATGCCAACCTTCTGGTGATACTGCCTAGCTGCTCTTGTTATGAAAGAAATGTGCTATTCTCTGCCAATTTTTCCTCGTTATATTCCTTATTTTATTTAATTTTTGTGTGCAAGCTGTAACTTTCCTTGGATGAGAAAAAAAAAAGAATATTGCACAGATCGCTTAGCATGAAATTAACAAGTTACTGAACATGAGAGGAATAATGTAGCCTCATGATACTGAATATATTTACAACGTGTTCTGGATCTAATTCTTATTTATTTAATACAGGTGCACATTGGAATTAAAGGATTCGTGAGAGATTCGGTCACTGGGGCTGCCTTGGAAAATGCAACCATTGCTGTGGCTGGAATTGCTCACAACATTACGACTGGACAGTTTGGTGACTATTACAGACTGTTGGTGCCTGGGACCTATAATATCACAGCTTCCGTCCCGGGGTAAAGTATATGGAGATGGCGTCGACATGTTCATTATTTTTGGCATAGTTTCTTCTAGCAGGGAGCTGCTTTAAGGGAATATGAGAAGCCAATCTCACTGTGTTGTCTCATTTTGCCATAAACTAGGCAGGCGCTGTCGTATAATCACATTGCTAGTGCGGACAACAACAAAAACAGGCACATAGAAAATCAGGAAACAACAGTAGCTCCGCACCGTCAGTGTTTCTTTGTTAAGAGAAAGGGCGACTAGGGTGGCTTTGTGAGCCGCCTTGAGTCTTCGGAGAGGGGCAGCATATAAATTGAATTAATTAAATTAAATTAAATTAATTAAATTAAATTAAGAAGCCTTCCCTTTGTTAAGGGGAATTGAGCGAAGGATTTGGAACAGCTGCACTGCCAGCCTGAGGTTTGCAATTAAGCAGGCATAAAAATGGGGCTTTGATGTGGAACCCTTGATTTTGGTTCTTCAGTTGAGAAATAATAACGTTGCTATTTGGTCTTATTATTTTTTTTCATTCACAAAATGGGAATGATATTCAAGGTGAATAAATACAGGTAGCCCTCGACTTACAACTGCCATGGAGCCCAAAATTTCTGTTGTTAAGTGAGACATTTGTTAAGTGAATTTTGCCCCATTTTACGACCTTTCTTGCCACAGTTGTTATGTGGATTTGCTGCAGCTGGTACGCTAGTAACTTGGTTATTAAGTGAATCTGGTTTCCCCATTGATTTTGCTTGTCAGAAGGTTACAAAAGTTGATCACGTGACCTTGGGACACAGCAATGGTCGTAAATATGAACCAATTGCCAAGCACCTGAATTTTGAACACATGATCATAGGGATGTTATAAAGGTTGTAACTCTGAAAAACGATCCTAAGTCACTTTTTCAGTGCCAGTGACTTTCAACAGTCACTGAATGAACTGTTGTAAGTCGGGGACCATCTTTAGTAATGGAATTAAAGTAAATTCTATTAGGGATGCTCTTAAGCCAGGTGAAGCTAATGTCAGCCTAAAAGCATATTCTTCTCTCTTTTTTTCCCCCATCAGTTACCTGCCAGTCACCACGGAGAACGTTGAAGTGAAGGAAGAAAACGCAACTATAGTGGACTTTTCCTTGCATCCTACAGTCACAGTGTTGACTTCCAGCCCCACCAAGGAAGCTCTGATAACCACCAGCAACTCTCTTGACAGTGCAGCAACTACCACCGCTGTAAACAGAACAGCCTCTGCTCGGCAGGTGATCCAGCCGGATGATTTTCGCCATCACCACTTCCCTGATATGGGTATCTTTCTGAGGAAATTTGCCACTGAGTACCCAAACATCACCCGACTCTACTCGGTGGGCAAGTCAGTGGAGCAAAGGGAATTGTATGCCATGGAGATATCGGATAACCCAGGCATTCACGAAGCAGGTAACTTCCCATTATATAGTTTTGTTGCATGATCTAGATCACGGGTGTCAAACTCACGTTGCCACTTTGCCGTCACAAGGTCCTGTAATCTTTCCTCATAAATGAATTGGTCCAGTTTTCATTATTTTTAATGTATTTGGTCTGAAATAGTCATTTTTAATTGCGATAATCAGAACCAACTATATGCAGTAATTAATGTACAGTGATACCATTGTAGAGTATTACGATTTTTAATTCTGTTCCTATAATTAGCAGGTTGAGAGGAACTTTTCAGAGTTCTTCATTGCATATTTTTGGTTTTTATTACGTTTACATTTTAATGTTTTTCTTATCAAGTTAATTTTGTAAATAGGGTAGGAGAGTAAGAGGGTTTGAAATGTTTCTTTTGCAAACCTGAGGAAGGACTTCCTGAAGTAAATGTCGATGGACTTCTAAGTTTAAAATAATCGTTTTTTAAGGCCAAATTGTTTGGATTTTAGTTTGAATTTTTAGTTTCAATTTTGAACTTTTGTCAATAATTTCAAATGTAGTTTTTAATAAAGAGTCTTCTTTGGGCCAAATGAGTTTCACTTCCTAAGGTTTACGTCCATTGTAGGTTCTGTTAACATTAGAGACCATTTGTTTGGACCTAAATAAAGCAATAAAGCAATTTATGTTAATTATAAAAAATCTTTAAAAAATTACAGTTCCAAAACATTAGATAGGTTTGCATTTATAAGGCACTTGTTTATACATTTGAAGGTTATCTAATTGTCTTGTATAACCCATGTGGCACAAGCAAAGCTTGGATTCATTTGGTGGGCTGTGAATGGTGTTTTCAGTTCATGTTAACATCTGGACCAAACGGAGAGAGAATTGAAATTTTTCTCTCCCCCCCAATCTATCTGTCTGTCTGTCATCCCTCCCCCCCTCCCTTTCTCTTTCTTCCTCTCTCCCTCTCTCTCCCTCCCCCTCTCTCCATGTTTGTATGATTTATCTCGGCTTCTACACGTCATCCTGTATGCGATGGCTAAACTAAGCATCTCTGTTCCTCTTCCAGGTGAACCAGAATTCAAGTACATTGCCAATATGCACGGCAACGAAGTGGTAGGAAGGGAATTGCTCCTCAACCTCATTGAGTACCTCTGCAAGAACTACGGAACCGATCCTGAAGTGACTGACTTGATCCAAAAGACTCGGATCCATATCATGCCATCGATGAACCCCGATGGCTATGAGAAATCTGTAGAAGGTAGCCTTGCATGCCAGCTTTCTTTTTACACTTCTAGTAAAGGCGTTGGCCAAGAAAAGGTGGTGATTTTATAGGGCAAACAGCTTCAGCTTTTTCTCATAGGTGACTCGGCTTTAATCATAATGTACGTAAAGAGCCCAGAATTTCTTCTTTTCCTTGACTCATCCCTTTTCCTAATCTTTCTCTATTGTACTTCATTTATCTCATATTACAGAAGTAAGGACTTTCTCAATTTTAGCTTGACTCTTTGTGATCATTTTCATGCGTTTTTTGCTGGCCACAGTGCAGAAGCGGTTTGCCATTGAGCTTTAGTGATCTTTTACTTCTTGGAAATGAGACATTACTAAGCAGACATTTTAGAGCAGGGGTCCCCAACCTTGGCAACTTGAAGACTTGTGGACTTCAACTCCCAGAATTCCTCAGCCACTTTGCTTTGCTGGCTGAGGAATTCTGGAAGTTGAAGTCCACAAATCTTCAAGTTGCCAAAGTTGGAGACCCCTGTTTTAGAGGATCCATGGTGACCAGGCATTTTACATTAAGCAATATACCATCCTGCTTTCGTGGTTTAGCTCCGCAAAGCACTAGAGAAAGGAAGTGAAAGTTTACATCAACTCAGGCAGGCAGGGAAGGTATGTTGTAGACCTGTCGGCTAAAGAATTCCAGCTGGCAGGGTCCAGGATGAAAGCCTTCCATGCCATTGCCCCTGCCCTGTGAAACGTTCTCTTCCCAGAGGTGAGGCAGGCCCCGACTTTCCTGGCCTTCCAGAAAGGCATAAAAACATGGCTTTATGGCTTTCCTTGGGGTGCACAGAGAAGCATGCCGATGTGGGACTGATTAGCGCCCTAAGGGCCCTCCCTCCGCCTTTCAATTAACTTTTAATGTGGAATTTTAATTCTCTTTGCCTCTTTCAATTTTTATATACATTTTGTTCATGTTTTCATACTTTAGTTGTACACTGCCCGAAGTCCCTGTGTGAGGGAGATGGGCAGTTTCAAAATTGGATTAATTAGATTTTGATCAGCAATTTAAATAGCTGAATGGAAGCAGTCTTTAAATTTTAGTTCGCTAATTGATTTCAAAGGAATGAAACATTGAATGCAGCCCTAAAACAATGGAGGATTGGTGAGAAGCAATCAATTTAAAAAAGGGGTGGCATCAGGAGTTGGCAGGTATAATCTTACTTATAAAATTTATACAGCTGCCCATCTCATGAATGGGATTGTGTGGCATGCAATAAAAACAGAAAAATAAAACCACATCTTAAAAGAACTATAAAAACAGGAAACCTGCATATAACTTGGGACAATGTTGAAAAACTCAGACATAATAGATCCATCTCTGTTCCCAAGGGATCCAGGGCCTGTTGGGGAAAACCATGTCTCTGGAAGGCCAGATGGATCAGGCCAGGTTTTACCTCAGGGTGCATGATCTGCCACAGTAGAAAAGGCTCTCACTGCCTGGGTCCAATCACAGGGAACTCCTTAACACAGCCCCCCCCAAACTTTTGAGCACCAGGGACCGGTTCCGTGAAGAAAGGTTTTTCCACGGACTGAAGAGGGTGTGGTTTTGCATGCTTGCCTGCATCCCGTGAATGGGGCTTCACTTGTTTGCGTGGCCCGGTTTCTGGCATGCCGCAATCTGGTGCCAGTCTACGGATTGGGGGATGGGGATGCCTGCCTTAGCAGACGAGACCCGTACAATGCCCTTCCTGTCTGACCTGATGGGAATCCTGCATGATTCACGCAGTTTACGCAAGAGCAAACAAATAGTACAGTTAGAAAGAAGGCTTAGTGTCCCGAAGGTGTTTTTTTTTTCAAAAGGCAACCGGATTTTCTTGGTTTTTTCCCCCCTTGAAAACCTTTCATTTTTCATCCAAAAAGCTTCTTCAGTTCTGAAGAAGAACTGAAGAAGCTTTCTGGATGAGAAGCAAAGGTTTTCAAGGGGAAAAAAAACCCAAGAAAATCCGGTTGGCTTTTGGAAAAGCAATTCTGTAGAAGCTTCTTGGATGAAAAGCAAAATAATTTCATGGAAAAAAAACCAAGATAGCCTTTTGAACAATACCTTTGGGACAACCATGACCTGGATGATTAAGAATCTCCCTACAAAAGAAGGCTTAGTATTTATTAGTACAAGAGCCATGAAATAGGGGCTGTGGAAAGATGAAACAATGAAAGCCAGGTCATTCATGAAAGAAAGAGACCAAACTTGACAATAGCTGACGCCGTGTTTGGCAAGCCACAACTTGGTGTTTGAACAGTAGCTTGTTCGGCTGCACCTTGGATTCTTTCTAAAGAAAGGATTTTCCCAAATTGAAATGTTTGATTAGTATGAATGTTTATAATGGCTTGGGGCCAAAGGATATTGCAGCAACGTGAACAACAATTTGTGGTTCTTCATACAATTAGGTAGATCTCCACAAGCAGGACTTCTAAAGTTTCTGAGATGAATACAGGTAGCCCTTGACTTACGACAGTTCATTTAGTGTCCATTTGAAGTTACTGCACTGAAAAAAAGAGACTTGTGACCATTTTTCACACTTATGACCGTTGCAGCATCTCCATGGTCACCTGATCAAAATTCAGACACTTGGCAGCTGGTTCATAGTTATGACGGTTGCAGTGTCCCAAGGTCAAATGATCCCCTTTTGCGACCTTCTGACGAGCAAAGTCAAGAGGGAAGCCAGATTCACTTAACAACCTTGTGACTAACTTAACAACCGCAGTGATTCACTTAACAACTGTGGCAAGAGAAGTCATAAAATGGAGAAAAATTCACTTTACAAATGCCTCGCTTAACAACAGAAATTTTTCAGCTCATGTGTGGTCGTAAGTTGAGGCTACCTGTAAAGTCTTTAGGGACAGTTTTCATTTCTCCCTTGATAATTATAACATCTCTTAAAACTTGGTAAAGGAGAATTACGGAAAAAAACATTGTTTTGCCCACTTAACTTAGAGGTGCAAATTCTGTGTGAGGGAAGGATAGATATTGATAATCGCTATAAAGCACAAATGGTTCAACCAGGCTCCCTTCTGTTTCTCAGGAGACGTATCGGGAATTTTCGGAAGAAACAACAGCAACAACTACGATTTGAATCGGAACTTTCCGGATCAGTTCGTCCAAATCACCGATCCCCTGCAGCCAGAAACCATAGCTGTGATGAACTGGCTGAAGACCTACCCTTTTGTGCTGTCGGCCAATTTGCATGGAGGTAAAGAGGAATGCAAAGCGGCTCGTGTGGAAATGTACAGCACTTTTATTCTAGACTCAGTAAGCCTGAGGCCTCACTGCAGGAAAACTTACCAATGCATGGGAAAATTATGTTTTTACTACATAATTTTATCTGATAATAGCTTACAAGTCAGGATTGCTGGCCAAGATCATCCACAGGAGAGCCTGTAATTTTAAAAAAGTGTTCAGATTCAACACATGTGCTCTTATTAGGGTTACTTTGAAAATGATTTAAATTGCATTGAAAAGAATGCTGCTTGAATTACTTGATTGATTGGTTTATCATTTATTTTTTCTTAAATTCATACGCCTCCCATTTCGCTGTCCAAAGGGACTCTGGGCGGCTTAAAATGTAATTAAATTAAAGTAATTGTATTACATTTATTAAAACAGATTTGTCTTCCCCCCCCCCCCCCCCCAGTTTTCTGGAAACCTGGAAAAAAGACATGTGTGTTTTAATAAGTAGCCCCATAAGTGTTGTGCTTGCATGAGATCCAAAGAACTCCAGACTCATTTTTAAAGTATGCCCAACCCTGTTTTTTTTTTTTTGTGTAGCTTTTCTAAAACGTCTAGTCCCCCCCCCCCCCCCCCCCTTTTTTTTTTTTTTTTTCTTGGGGGCATTTGCTGAGTACATTTCCTCTGTTCTGGCTCTTGATGTTTAAGAACAAGTAACAAGCAGGTGCTATCTTGCCATCTCTTGATGAATTCCCCTGGGTGGATTTTTTTCTCATTGTTGTCTTTATTTACCTGGATTAGTTTTGTGGCTGGTTGCGAAATCTAAGCAAATAGTATTGTTCTTGACTGTGGTGGTAGAACGACTGCCTTTTATGTTACAATTAATTTACTCAGAGTAATAAAATCCTGAAAGATATATACATACATATATATTTTGCTCTTTGCAGGATCTCTGGTGGTTAACTACCCCTATGATGATGATCAGCTAGGAGTTGCCACATACAGTAAATCCCCTGATGATGCTGTTTTTCAGCAGCTAGCTCTTGCCTATGCCAAGGTAATAATTATTGGAAGGTGTCTCCCAACGGATCCTGAAACCTCTGAGATCCACTAGCTTACTTATCACACACGCTTATATACGGTGTTATGCGGGTTATGATTTCTGGGGGGTTACAAGGAACTTAAGAGAAGCTACATGTATTTTTAAGCTGTCAGGCTCGTGCAGACGAAATGCAGTTATATAGCCTGTGGTATAAAGTATCCACAGTAAGGTACCTACAAGAATTAAAAGGCAATGCAACTAAAACTGAGCAGTACATAATGGCATAATGAACCAATGGCATTATCTAACTTGTTAGAAAGGCCTTCTGGAAGATGCCATTGTTTTAAATTTCTTGCCTTTTGAGATTATTATTATTACTGATATTTATTAAACTTATTTGTCACCCATCTCACCACAAGGTTTACTCTGGGAAAGTTTCTGTTGGATAAGAGAAAAACAAAAGTTTTATCTGTATAAATTGGACATGTATGGTGTTTACTAGGGATGGGGATTATAGTAAAATGGTGTCGTGGTTGTTCCAAAGGTGCTTTTTCCAAGAGGCAACTGGACTTTCTTCTTTGAAGACGTTTCACTTCTCATCCAAGAAGCTTCTTCTGCTCTGACTGGATGGTAGGGAAGGGAAGGATTTATATTCCTTGCAGACAACTGGTCAATTGCATTTAAAAGACAAAGGCCTCTCTTTTGAAGACAGCAAAGTCCAAATTTGGATAGAGAGGACCCTGGTTTGAAAGAGGGGTCAAAGAGGCCATCAATGTCCAAATTGAACAGCCCTCTCTCAACAGAAGGGGAGGGATACCACACCACCCATCTTCAGTCTACAACACAGTCCTTTCAGCAGTTCCAAGAAGGCTCCACACCCATTTGCACCACTCAGGTGACCCCAGGAGACAGGTAAACCTTCAGGTGGCCTCAACAACCTTCTAAAAGGATGCAAATGACCAGCTGTCTGCAAGGAGCATAAATCCTTCCATTCCCAACCATCCAGTCAGCACTGAAGAAGCTTCTTGGATGTGAAGCGAAACATCTTCAAAAGAAAAACCAGAAAGTCCAGTTGCCTCTTGAAAAAAACACTTTTGGGATCTTTGCTGTTTTAGTTGTTTTTCTTTATATTAGTAAGTAGGAGTCCTGCTAATCATTGCAGTACGTAAAATAAATAATATTGTCAGACTCTAGAATGTGATGAAAGTTGTACCCTTTGTAAAGAATATATTTCTTTGCCCTAACTGCAAACAAATCATTTGTTTTATTCAGAGCGGGGCAGAGAGTTTCACACCAATTCATTTATCTTTTTAAGGGGTTCACAATATCACAAAGATTAAGGAGTCCTACACCAAACCATAATGAAATGTTTATTTAACATGATAAGTTAATTTAGCCATTGTGCTTTGCAACCACAGTTCACACACCTTTTTTCAGTTTGACTTTTGTGGAGGTCAAACAAAAACAAAAAAGAACAAAGAACAAAGAGGTAGAGATAAGGTTAGGGCCAAAAGTAGATTGTAGAATTAATTCAACTGAAATTACATTGGATCAGTTAAATACAGTTTTTCTTCTTGTCCCTTCAAAAAAATAGAATTTTCTGGCAATTTCTGAAAGGACTTTGCCTATAACATTTTGTGACCTGCATGTGGCTTTGTGAAATAAATTTACTCCTCAGATTTGTGACTTAATGTCATTCTGAAACCAGCCACTGTAATTATTTTATAAATCCAGAAATGAATGATATAACGTAAAAGGAAATGTAACCCCAATGACTGACCGGGGGATCCTGGAAGATTAAATACAAAATGTTTGGAAGGCACTAAAGTTCTAAAAAAAATTGAATTATTAGTTGCATATACTAGAATGTTACAAGAGGACCTGCTTTCCAAGTATCTGGAAAGAAATATTAGAAACAATGTGATCTGCATAAACTTAAGTCAACACTTTCAAAACCAATTCTCTGGTTTTACTTATTTCTGCAAAAAAAAAATTCAGGTCCTTCTTATCTTGATTGTAGTTCCTGCTAGTTTTCCTTCTGTTACATTTGCACCAACAGGTTGCTTGGATTTTAGGGAATGAAAGCTGTAACTTTTTAATTTAATCTTAAATAGGGACTCTGTGACAACTATGAAACTTGGTGGGTGATCCTGAGTCTCACATAACCTAATTGTCTCTCAGAGTTATCTGGTTAAAATTGCAAGAGAATGGTATATTGGATTAATGTTGGGATAAATAGGTGGTAATTTTTCACATATTTTCATTTTCAAATGGAGATACTCCTAGACTTACAGCCACAATTGTGTCCAAAATTTCTGTTGTTAAGAGAGACATTTGTAAGTGACTTTTGCCCCATTTTATGGCCTCCCTTGCCATAGTTGTTAAGTGAATCATTGCAGCTGATAAGTTAGTAACCTGGTTGTTAAGTGAACCTGCTTTCCCCATTGACTTTGCTTATCAGGTCGCAAAAGTTCATCACATGACCCCGGGACACTGCAACTGTCATCAATATGAGTCAGTTGCCAAGCGTCCAAATTTTGATCACACGACCATAGGGAAGCTGCAAAGTTTGTAGCTGAAAAACTTTCATAAATCACCTTTTTCAGTGCAGTTGCAACTTTGAACGGTCACTAAACGAACTGTTGTAAATTGGGGACTACCTGTACCATCCACAAGAATAAAAATGTAGTTTAGAGTTGATCGTTCACAAACTACTTACTTGTATATGTACCCTGTTTAGAATAGAAGCTGAAAAGCGATATAAAAAAATCCATAATGACATAAGACTTGGATTTTTCCAATCTGAATTTAAGAATGTGTAAACTCAAGTCTCTTTGGGGTCAAGGTGAGCTGCTGCTGACATGTCCATATCGTTTTCCTTGAGCAACTGACCTTTTCCATCTGGCATGCTTTACAACTTCTTAGTCTAGCTCAAAGCCTTAGGATTTCCTGGTTGTCTGCCTTCCAAGTGCTGAACAGGTTCAGCCTGCTTAGCTTTTTTTATAAGGTCACATGAGATCACAGGAAACATCACCTTCCTGTGATCTGCTATCCCACACTACTGCTCAAAAAAAATGAAAACTCTTTGCATGATAAACTTCTCTGTACTTTCAAGCGTAAGGCAGGAATGAACAGCATGAACCCGAATTTGTATTCTGCTCTTTCAGGAGAATGTGGAAATGTTCCAGGGCCATCCGTGCGACAACATATATCCCGATGAATATTTTCCTCGTGGCATCACTAATGGAGCGAATTGGTATAATGTCCCAGGTAAAGCATAAATGCTGGAGATGTTTGTTTGGGGGAAACGACAACATCTGTGGGCTTTATGTGCGAGAATAAGATCCGAAATCCCCTTCGGGTTGGTCTGAGTTTCTCAAGATAAAGAACTTTTCCTTGTAAGCCAGCCATGATGAGGGCTGTGAAAAATGTTTTTTTTTTAAGTCTTGTTTTAACATCAAAATAATTTTGACTTTGAGATAGGGAGCTTTGAACTTGGAACACTTTCTTTGAACTGCTCTGCCCATCACAAATGTTTATTTGCTTGTTATATGTGTTGGCAGGGAAAAAAACCTAATTATTGAGCATAGCTGCACTTAATAACAATTGAACAGACAACACACCATAAAGCATCTTGCTTAGGATCCAGAGGTTTATTAGAATTTAAAGCATTAGCAAACATAAGTCAGTTACATTAATCACATTGCAATGAGGGTCAATTGGACAAGCAGTCAAAAGGGACGGCTTGAGGCCGGTTGGTCCCCTCCCATTATTCAACATTTCATTATGTACCTTAAAACCACAAAATCACATGACTTTCAGGATTCTGCCATTGAGCATAGCAACAGGGCCAGTTGTCCATTCCTCCAACCTAAATGTTACAACATGGTTATTTTTTACATGTACTTTTAAATGCACACTTCCTCTTTGTCCACAGCATTTTGCAAGCTAAGCAACTGTCAGTGTTGCAAAGCACCATTTTGACATAATTAAAGGTCACAATTTCAGCACCCAGATTAACATTGATTTTATTTCAGGCCCTTCATCCCTTAACATACCTGATAGTGCAGGTAAATAGGCCTTTATTTTAAAAAAACAAAGGTGTACATTAAATTTTTTTTCCTTAACAGTGCCCAAACCCGATTTTTTTTAAATCCTGGTTTACACGGTGTGTGAACACAGCTAGTGTTTAATAAGGAAATGGCATAGTGTTCCAACCACAATCCTTTAAGTTCCATTTAAAAAAAACATAAATACTGCCTCCTACCGCTAGGCACAGGTGTTTAAGAAAACAGTTCTGTACTCTATTCGGCATTTTCTTTTTTTAAATCCTTTTCCTATTTTAGGTTGGTCCTTATTTCACATGAATTTGATTCAGTACTATTGATATAAAAGAAATACAGCTAATCCTTAACCTATGACCACGGTTTACACCAAAGTTTCTGCTGTTAAGTGAAACAATTACTAATGAGTTTTGCCCCATTTCATGATCTTTTTTGCCACAGTTGTTAGCTGAATCCCTGCAGTTGATCAGTTAGTAACCCGGTTGTTAAGTGAATCATGCTTCCCTATTGACTTTGCTTGTCAGAAGGCTACAAAAGGGGATCATGTTCATGACCGTCATAAATACGAGTCAGTTGCCAAGCGTTTGAATTTTCCTCACGTGACAGTGTGAAAAACGGTCATCTTTTTTCAGTGTTGTTTTTCGGAATGGTCACTAAATGAACTGTTGTAAATCGAGGACTGCCTGTACTGCTAATTTGGGAGCAAAATGTATAGTTGAAAATGATTCTGCTTTCAAACTCCTTTCCCTAAAATGACATCTTGCTTTACGGGTGGTCCTTGACTTCCAGCCATTATTTTAGTGACCATTTGAAATTACAACAGCACTGAAAAAAGTGACCTATGACCTTTTTTCACATTTACAACCATTGCAGCAACTCCACGCTCCCGTGATGAAAATTCAAACGCTTGGCAACTGACTCGTATTTATGACAGTTGCAGTCTGCTGGGATCACGTGATCCCCTTTTGCGACCTTCTGACAAGCCAAGTCAAAGGGGAAGCCAGATTCCCTTAACAACTGCATTGCTAATTTAGCAACTGCAGTGATTCACTTAACAATGGTGGCAAGAAGGGTCGTAAAGTAGGGCAGAATTCATTGAACAACTGCCTTGCTTAGCAACATAAATTTTGAGCTGAATTGTGGCCGTAAGTCGAGGACTACCTGTATTTTGCTCCACAACCTCCAAGTTTTGCGGTTAGGATTTCATCTCTGGGGGATTAATTTTCTTTATTCTCCTGCTGCCAAGATATTTGCCGCTAAGCATAAGCCGTTGATTTACCTTCTGATAATCCTCGTTTCAGGTGGCATGCAGGATTGGAATTACCTTAACACAAATTGCTTTGAGGTGACCATTGAGTTGGGCTGTGTCAAATATCCCAAGGCAGAAGAGTTGCCAAAATACTGGGAGAAGAACCGCCGGTCTCTGCTGGAGTTTATCAAGCAGGTAAGATGATTTGCTGCCCCGCACGATTAAGCGGTGCTCACCTATGCTGCTGCATACTGCACAAGGAAAAAATACAACCAGAATAAGAGAGTTGGAAGGGACCTTGGAGGTCTTCTAGTCCAACCCCCTGCTCAAGCAGGAGACCCTACATACATTTCAGTCAAATGGCTGTCTCTTCCTAAAATCCTCCAGAGATGGAGCACCCACAACTTCTGATGGCAACTTCAGAATTAATTGTCCACGGATTAATTGTTCTGTCAGGAAGTTTTTCCTTGGTTCTAGGTTGGTTCTCTCCCTGGTTAGTTTCCATCTATTGCTTCTTGTCCTGCCTTCAGGCGCTTTGGCGAATAGGTGGATCCCCTCTTCTTTGTGGCAGCCCCTCAAATACTGGAAGACTGAAATCATGTCCCCCACCTCAGTTCCTTCGTTGCACTAGACTAGACATACCTAATTCCAGAAACCATTCTTCCTCCAGTCCGCTAATACTCTTTGTTGGCCTTCTTTGCACTCTTTACCTGGCCCTGGTTTTTTCATGGATTTGGGGAGAGGGATCAAAGACTAACGGATTCTCTGTTGCACAGTTCATCCATCTCTCTTCACTTAGGTCCACCGAGGTGTCATTGGGTTTGTTTTGGATGCCACGGATGGACGAGGCATCTTGAACGCGACCATCAGCATTGCCAGCATTGACCACCCTGTCTCCACCTATAAAACGGGGGATTATTGGCGCCTGCTGGCTCCAGGAACGTACAAGATCACGGCATCTGCCCGAGGGTAAGCCACGCGGCTTTCAATGATCTAACATCCGTCATTTTCACCTAAGGGCTCTTCTTAAGTGCGCTGGAATTAAATCACCTCTTCCCTACGGAGAGAAAAAGATAACTGCTGTTTTTCATCTTATTGTTGTAAGTCCTCGATTTACAACCGTTCATTTAGTGACCATTCAAACTTACAACAGCGCTTTAAAAAAGGACATATGACCATTTTTCACAGTTACAACCTTTTCAGCCTCCCCATGATCATGTGATCAAAATTCAGGTGCTTGGCAATTGGTTCATATTTATGACCATTGCAATGTCCTGGGGTCATGCCATCCCCGTTTGCAATTGACTAGCAAAGTCAATGAAGAAGCCAGGTTCACTTAACAACCGTGTTACTAATTTAGTAGTATTCACATTAATAACTGTGGCAGGAAAAGTCCTAAAATGGGACAAAACTCACTTAACAAATGTCTCCCTTAGCAACATAAATGTTGGGTTCAATTGTGCTCGTAAGTTGAGGACCGCCTACACTCGAAAAGATTAAAGACAAAAAAGAGGGCTACGACAAGGGAGCTGGATACTATCACGGATGACCAGGCAGGAGTTTACAAAAGCGATTATTGGCAAATGGTCCTAGTAAAACATTGTCTCTTTGGAGTAGCAAGGAAGAAGAAGCAACTGAATTAAGTCACCTCTCACTCAGATTTAGAACATGGAAGATTGGGAAGAAGCCTCTTAATCCTGCACAGTTAAGGCTCTTGAAATATCTTGTATCTTCTACATCAGGGGTCTCCAACCTTGGCAATTTGAAGACTTGTGGACTTCAGTTCTCGGAGTTGAAGTCCACAAGTCTTAAAGTTGCCAAGGTTGGAGACCCCTGTTCTACATCATCCCAAAGAAGAACACGAGGAGCTTCAGGGCTTCCAAATGTAGAGAACCAGCAGCTAATCCCTCTTGCCCAAGAGAAAAATTGCAAACATTTTGTGGGCAGTTTTTTTTTTAGCTTGGATTTCTATGAAAGGCAAGATGAAAATTGATGGGGATTTTTTTTAAAAAAAACATGAAAGATTTAACTTCCGTCTTTCAGGCAAGCCAGGCCCTGGCATCTTCACTTGAAACAATGAGAGAGCAATTGTGAGGAAGGCCACTTTACCTAAGACTTTGGAGATTTATTCTGTCACAGGTGTGCCAGAAGGCTGAAGTGACAGGAATCAGCTTCCTGCTGTACTGTAGTGCAGGGGTCCTCCAGACTTGGCACCTTTAAGGCCTGTGAACTTCAACTCCCAGAATTCCCCCAGACGGCATGTCTTCTCGGTCTATTCAAAAGAGCCCTAATGCTGCAGCTTTTACTCCCCATATTAAAAGTCAGAAAGGATGTGGTAAGATGTAGGTGGAAATGCGGTATGTGCCTCAGCAGATAGGGGCAGTTACAGTCATTATTACTGTTCGAATTACATAGAGTAAATTAGAGAACGTGGGGGGGGGGTATTAAGAAGGATCTCTTTTTTGTGTGTGGTTCCTCTTTATGAGGTTTGCATCAGAATGTTTCAACTGCCTCAGTTTGTAAAAAATACTAAATAAAATGACTTCAGGCAGTCCTTAACTTGGAACCACAATTGGGCCCAAAATTTATGTTGTTAAGCGAGACATTTGTTAAGTGACAGTTAAGTAACATTTGGTCCATTTTACGACTTTCCTAGCCACATTTGTTAAGTGAATCACTGCAGTTCTTAAGTTAGTCACACGGTTGTTAAGTGAGCCTGGCTTCCCCATTGACTTTGCTTGTCAGAAGGTCGCAAAAGGGGATCATGGGAACCCCAGGAACACTGCGACCGTCATAAATATGAGTCAGTTGCGAAGGATCTGAAAATAAGTCATGTGACCCTGGGGAATGATGCAATAGTCGTAAGTGTGAGAAATGGTCATAAGTCACTATGATGTAACTTTGAACTGTGACTAAATGAACTGTTGTAAACCGAGGACTACCTGTATGTCTGCAAGGAGTAATTATTATTAAGGTCACCTGCAATTAAGCTACAGTAAAATTTAAATGAAGCAGCTTAATTTTTGCAGTATTAATGATTTAAGAAAGTGGGAACATCGTAGCCTGCAGAATTCCGAATGGCCATATCAGCCTAGGCCTCAATAACTGGTTAGATTTGGTAATGATACTTACTGTGATACAGGTACAGCAGTCCTTGACTTACAATCATTCGTTTAGTGACCGTTTGAAGTTAAAATGGCACTGAAAAAAGTGGCTTATGACTGCTTTTTTACACTTAATGACTGTTGCAGCATCCCCACAGTCATGTGATCAAAATTTGGATGCTTGGCAACATATTTATGACCGTTGCAATATCCAGGGATCACCTGATCCCCTATTGCGACTTTCTGGCAGGCAAAGTCAGTGGGGAAAGTCAGATTCACTTAACAACCATGCTACTAACCTATCAATTGTCACAATTCACTTAACAACTGTAGCAAAAACGGTTGCAAAATGGGATAAAATTCACTTAACAACTGTCTTGCTTAGCAGCAGAAATGTTGGGCTCAATTGTAGTTGCAAATCAAGGATTTCCTGTTAGATCGAGCAAAGATTGGTATTATTACCTCCGACAGAATAAACTGCAGTCTGTCATATTTTTCCCTGTTTTTCTTTCCGTTTTTTCTGGAAGGTATAATTCAGAGACAAAGATGGTCAAAGTTGAAGAGAACAATGCCGCACAAGTCAACTTTACTTTGAGTCGAAAAGGCCCCAAAGTTGAAGAAGGGTCAGCACCGCATGTGAACATGGCGGACTCCAGTGGGCCGGTCACCAAGGAATTAGAAACCCTGATCAAAGACCTCTCAGCAGAGAATGGCTTGGAGCATCTCCTCTTGGCTTCTTCAGCTGATGTTCAGCCTTCACGTTACCGTCCCTACAAAGATCTGTCTATGTTCCTCAGAGGCTTGAATTTGAATTATCCAGAAATCACAAATCTTGTTAGGTATGGGATAGTGTTTGGAGACATTTACATTCTGGAAAACCACAGCTGTGCTCCATCACTGGATCACAGATGTGTTCCTGAAAGAAACTTCAAAAGAAAATGACCTGATACAACAGTGCGGTCCAGAGTGGGTGTGTCCATCTGCCATTCTAAAAAACACTCTGCATCTAAAAGTCTGTAGAGATTCTCCATCATCCAGGTCCTGGTTATCCCAAAGGTGCTTTTTCAGGAGGCAACTGGACTTTCTTGGTTTTTCTTTTGAAGACGTTTCACTTCTTATCCAAGAAGCTTCTTCGGCTCTGACTGGATGGTGGGGAGTGGAAGGATTTATATTCCTTGCAGACAGATGGTCATTTTCATCCTTTTAGAGGGTCTTTGAAGCACTTGGAGGTTTATCTGTGTCCTCAGGGTGACCTGAGTGGTGCTCCCAGTTAATGTAGTCTGCAAAATGGTGTGAGAGTAGGAATGGATTTCCAGAGGGAAAAAAATTGCAACTACAGGAACCATTTGCACCACTCAGGTGAACCTGAGGACACAGAGAAACCTCCAAGTGAGCTCAACGACTCTCTAAAAGGACGCAAATGGCCAGCTGTCTGCAAGGAGTATCAATCCTTCCCTTCCTCACCATCCAGTCAGAGCTGAAGAAGCTCTTTGGATGAGAAGCGAAACGTCCTCCAATGAAAAAAAAGAAAAGAAAGCCCAGCTACCTCTTGAAAAAAAGCACCTTTGCGACACTGCATCTAATTTAGACAAACTAAATTCTACATTGATAATTGCTAAATAATGTATTCTACAGATTGAGCTTTGAAATATCTCTTACTACCTCAACAGTGTTTTTCTTTTGCTAATAATGGAAGACAGGGCAAGCTCTGAAATTATTGCTTTGGTATCAGAGCCATAGACAGTAGATTTGTTAGTCTGATTGGTAAATCATTAGAGATAGGCTTTCTACTTAAAATGGTAGCTGCACTTTTCTGCAAGTTGGATTCTGCATCAGGAAGAGATGATTCACTCTTCTTCCTTAGAACACGAAGTCGGCAAAAAATATTTTGTCGCTTGTTCTTAGTTCCAAAATACTTATTATATTCAGTAGCTGAGAACCTTAGTAATGTGATTTATATCACTGACAAATATGGGAATATTTCCTGGGATAGGGTGGGATGAATTAAAAAAGGAAAAAACCTATGAGAAGCTTAAATCATGCCGTGGTAGCGCAGTCGTTAGAGTGCCGTATTGCAGGCTAACCCTACCCACAACCAGGAATTCGATCCTGACCAACTCGAGGTTGACTCAGCTTTCCTTCCTTCTGAGGTCGGTAAAATGAGGACCCGAATTATTGGGGGCCATATGCTGACTCTGTAAGCCACTTAGAGAGAGATGTAAAGCACTGTGAAGCGGTATATAAGTCTCAGTGCTGTTGCTATTAAATCATACTATTTTAAATGTGATAATAAAGTATTATTTTTTAGCTTGAGTGACCTAAAAAGTAGCTGGAAACTGTCTCCATTTGTTGGTGTTTTGTTGCTCTTTCCCCATGGAGCAATCTTGAGGTCCTTCAGTGGGAGGTGGTTTCCTTGCTGTACCAGTAACTTCCTATAAATGTCTCAGCATAAGTGGGAATGTAGTTTCGCACTTCCGCAGAATGAAAAAGCAGCCCAAAATGGCCCATTTCTATTTTTTACAAAGCAGCCAGTAGACTTTTATCTCTCTTATTTTGGCAGCTTGGGCCAGAGTCGTGAGATCCGTCACATTTGGTCCCTGGAAATCTCTAACAAACCCAACCAGTCCGAGCCGGAAGAGCCGAAGATCCGTTTCGTTGCTGGCATCCATGGTAACGCCCCTGTCGGTACCGAGCTGCTCCTGGCCCTGGCAGAGTTCCTCTGCATGAACTACAAAAAGAACATGGCTATCACAAAGGTGGGTGACCTGCATGTATGGAAGTATCTACCGTGTTTTCCCCAAAATACGACCTTCCCCCGAAAGTAACTCCTAGCTTGATTTTTACATGTGTGCCCAATATAAGCCCTAAGCGTCCACTCCAGGGTGCAAGGGTAAAAATTAAGCTAGGGTGGGGACGGGGGTGGTGGAGCTGCCCGACTACTTACCTTCGGACAGTTGCAGCCAGGCCCCGCACATCTCAGCCCATTTCTTTTGCAGCCGGCAAGACTTCTGAAGGCCTCTGTAGCCAGTAACAGAGCTCTGGATTGATCCGGAGCTCTGTTACCAGCTGCAGAGGCCTTCAGGAAAGCCTTGCCAGCTGCAGAAGAAGTTTCTGAAGACCTCTGACAGCGAAAAGGAGGCCAGGGGTGATGCACGTAAGTGAGGTGAGTCAGTGGATGACATTTCCCCCACCCCTACCCCGAAAATAAGACCTGGTGCCTTTAGCAGATTAGATGGAACATGAATGTATTAGAGCCCTATGGAAAAAGCATCTCACGTAATCCAAAATCTGAAGACTGCAAAGGCCACTCAGGGCTTTTCTCTCAGGGCTTTCCAGATGAGGCCTTTTATGTGTGGTCACTCTGCCGTATATTTTATGAGACGGCTTTGTTCTGTTTTCCCATTGTTTCCTCTACTTATAAATGTTGAAATACTACACACCCTGTAAGAGGGTTTGCCATGTAAGAGTTTTAAAATATCCAGATCTGATCAGGGGATTGCCCATCACATCACTTAATGAAACAACCACAGTACCTTTCAAATTATGTGTAAAAATCCTCGGTTACGTAACCGTAATTGATAAACAGCCACCTTTGAATGTTTCCCAATTTCATGAAAGTCCGCTGAAATGGATTTCAGGATACGAGAGAGAGGCACCTTGTTCAGTAGAGGAAAGTTACTCTTTGAACTTGCTTCCAAAAGCTGTTTTGTGCCCAACAGCCTCAATAGAAGGTTGCAAACCTTGAAACTTTGCCATGAGTTAAAGTGGGGCCACTCTTCAGTTTTCCCAACCTTCCTTGGTGAGATAGAGTGGGTTAATTCTCCATATAAATGGTTTATTTTTAGGGGGTTTTTAAATATATTTTTTATTTATTTTCTCTTTACATATAATATGTGCTTAATGAACGTTGTACTGTCTGGGTCCATTTGTTTACATAGTAATACTTCTTAAGTTCCTAATTTCTACCTCTATTATCCAACCATTGATAAAACAAGTCCCAAGTTCAAAAATATTCTGTATCTTCTTTTTCTTTTATCTTTATCAGTGTTAATCTGTCCCATTTCTGCACAATCCAATATTTTTTTAATTATATCTTCTTCCGTAGATGTTTCCTCACTTTTCCAATGTTGTGCAAATACAATTCTGGTTAATTTTTGTGTTGGCTGTTTCCCCCCCCCCCCCCCCCCCCCCCCCAGCTGATTGAGAAGACAAGAATAGTGATTGTACCCTCCCTGAATCCAGATGGGCGTGAGATTGCCCAGGAAGGCGACTGTACCTCCAAACTGGGACAGGCCAATGCCAACGGCAAAGATCTGGACACCGATTTCGCAAGTAAGAGCAGGGTTAATGTGTTCCTTTGTGAGCTGCCCTTGATCTGCACCAGGGAAGGCAGAACGTTCCATTCCTCTGATCCCTTGTTTTAGCATGTAGAGATTAATCATGTATCACCTGTTCTTACATGTAATTCAGTTTTTTCCTCTGGTGTGCTTAGATGTCTTACCAGTGGTTGGTTTATTCAAGTTATATGTTTTATTTAATGTTTTGAACGTAGGTTGTCTCTTGCATAATGTGTTTTTCAGAACTTCTGTTGTTTTATGTATTTTAACCCTCTGTTAGTCACCCAGAGACGCATAGCCAGTGAGTTGTCATACAGATGGAAATAATACCAATAGAACACAACATATATAGGTCCAAGTTAAACTCTGGATTCCTTGCTGCTATCTGAGCCTGCTTGCTTTCTTGCAGACATTCAGTTATCCAACAGATAACATCTTGAGTGATAGAAGGGAGTTGGGTTGGCTCTCTGATTAGGTATCTTAGTTTGCCCTGTCAAAGTTTGCAGGGTTGTTGTTTTCTCCTTGATGGGTCCTTGATTAGGCTGCTGTTTACTGCTTGGTTATATCTCTGAGTTAGTAGTTTAGAGTATTGGTTGATTATTGTTTAGAGCATTGTCATCAGCAGTAACCTGCAATCAACACTCAGAGAAGCCAGAGATTAACATCCAAGAAACAATTAAGAAATAAACAGCAGCTTATTCAAGGACCACACACACATGAGCACTGGCATTGCAAGCTACTGTATATAAACAGAGAGCAAACCCCATTCCCTTCTAGCACTGAAAACAACCAAACTCAGAGACCACTAGGGACCCCATAGCCCTCTTCCTCCTCCTCCCTTCTTCTTCCAGTCTCCTTCTCCATCATTTCTCCTCCTCCCTTCTCCTTCTTCAAATTTTCTTCTTCATTATCATTCCTCCTCCTCCTCCTCTCATACATTCCATAAACCCCCCTCCCTTGTAGCATTGAAGATATTACCTAGCCAGATAACCAAACATCTCCAAGCAAATGGCCACGTTTGGGGAGCACCGTGGAGCCCACAGACTGGAATAGCAATCTGATCAACATGGTTCTCCACCAGTTACCTACCATCTGGTGCATTCACATCAAGGTTGAATGGGGAGGCTTGTCTCTCTTACTGTGAAAAATCCCTTGATTATTCCGTTAGGCAATTCCTCCGTGGTGAGGGAACCCGAAACCAAAGCCATCATGGAGAACCTGATACAGAAGCAGGACTTCAGCCTCTCCGTTGCCTTAGACGGAGGGTCCCTCCTTGTTACTTACCCATATGACAAACCAGTGCAAACAGGTGAGCTGATTTTTTTTTTCTTCCTGGTGCTTTGCAAAACATCTTTTCAGACTGTCTCTTTTACTCTGCTTTGGTCCTTGATGCTAAAAAAAAAAAAAAAAATAAGGCCTAAACATTCTGAAAAAGAAATTTGATGGTTTGTTTTTGTTTTTAGTGGAAAATAAGGAAACTCTGAAACATTTGGCTTCTGTCTATGCAAACAACCATCCTACGATGCACCTAGGACAGCCAAACTGTCCAAACAAATCAGGTATGTGCCTACAACGTCCACGGGTGGGATTGAAAAATTTCAGCAACCAGTTCGCTGCCTGGGTGCGTGGCCTACTCGGCCTCCTGCACCATGGTGGGCAGGGGCGTTTTCGCCTTCCCCAGGCTCCGGAGGCTTTCCTTGAGCCTCCAGGAGGGTAAAAACGGCCTCCCACAGGCACTGGAGGCTGGAAATGGGCCCCTTTCTAGACTTCCATACTTCCAGTAGGCCTGTTTTTTGCCCTCCCCAAGCTCCAGAGACTTTCCTGGAGCCTCCAGGAGGGCAAAAACGGCCTTCCCCAGGCACCAAAGGCCCTCCGGAAGCCAGAAACAAGCCCGTTTTTGGACTTCAGGTAGGCCCGTTTTTCGCCCTCCCAGAGCCTCCACACGCGCCCTGCACTTACCTGGCATCCAAAACGGGCTCTGTGGAGACGCCTGGGAGGGGCGGGGCGGGGTCAGCCAGTCCTTGGAACAACCGGTTCAATGAACCAGATTTAAATTAACATCCATTTCGTCCGAACCAGCTGAATCCCATCAATGACAACGTCCTAAAGCAGGGGTTTCCAGCCTTGGCAACTTTAAGCCTGACGGACTTCAACTCCCGGAAAGGAATTCCTGGAGTTGAAGTCCGCCAGGCTTAGTTGCCAAGGTTGGAGACCCCTGTCCTAAAGCATTTGGGACTGATTGCTGTGAGCCGACTCTGGATTGCAGAATCAGACTGCAGGTATAACGGGTGGGATTGAAAAATGGGACATATGAGAAGAGAAAGAGATATTTAATTATACACATTATCACGGCAGCCAGAATAACATATGCACAGTATTGGAAAGAAAAAGGAATACCACCGGAAGAGCATTTAATTTGGAAAATTTTAGAATGCGCTGAGATGTGTAAATTAGCATATGAGATTGATGAGAAAGAGGAATATTATACGGTGTGGGGACTATGGTACAAATGGTTGGAAGATAGAATAAAGAAAGGAAAAGGAACAACAGATACCTAAATAAGGGAGTAAAATACGAGTTATAATAAGTTAAGAATGTATTCAATCTGTATTTATATTAACACTGTGTAACCGATAGTTCATGTATTATATTATATTATATTTTTTATTTATTTATTTATTTATTTATTTATTTATTTATTTATTTATTTATTTATTTATTTTATTTGTATACCGCCCTTCTCCCAGAGGGGACTCATACTCTGCAACTTAATAAAAAATAAAAAAAAAAGAAAAGAAAAATGGGATAAAATAAAATAAAGGAAGAATTGCTGATTTCTGACTCTTTTGCAGATGAAAACATCCCGGGAGGTGTGTTGCTCGGAGCACAATGGCACAGCCATCTAGGGAGCATGAAGGTATTTCCGAGATGGTTATTTTGGTGCTCATCATGCAGATTGTGTAAAAAAAATCAAGGTTACCAATACAGGCAGTCCTTGACTTACAGCCATTCATTGTTTGAAGTTACAATAGCACTGAAAAAAAGTGACTTATGATTCACATGTACGACCGTTGCAGCATCTCCATGATCTGGTGATCAAAAGTCAGATCCTTTGCAACTAGTTCATATTTAAAGTGGTTGCAGTGTCCCGGAGTCACATGATCCCCTTTTTGGGACCTTCTGACAAGCAAAGTCAATCGTTCACTAAAACAACTGTATTGCATTGATTTGCTTATAAGAGCCGCAGTGGCACAGTGGTTAGAGTGCAGTACTGCAGGCTACTTCTGCTGAATGCCGGCTGCCTGCAATTTGGCAGTTCGATCCTGACCGGCTCAAGGTTGACTCAGCCATCCATCCTTCCGAGGTGGGTAAAATGAGGACCCAGATTGTTGGGGGCAAGAGGCTGACATTGTAAAAACTGCTTAGAGAGGGCTGTAAAAGCACTGTGAAGCAGTATATAAGTCCAAGTGCTATTGCTATTAACAACCGCGGCAAGAATTGTCGTAAAATGGGGCACAACTCACTTAATGGAAATTGTCCACTTAGCAATGAAAATTTTGGGCTCAATTGTGGGTCATAAGTCAAGGAGAACCTGTAATCTTTTGCTGATTGGGAGGTTTTTTTTTTTTTAATAGAGGGCTATCTTTCTTTTGACCTAAACCCTCTTCTTTATTTATTTCTCCAGGATTTCAGTGTCACATATGGGCATTGCCCAGAGATCACAGTATACACCGGTTGCTGTTACTTCCCGAGCGCAGGACAGCTCCATACTCTGTGGTCAGAGAATAAGAAATCGCTTCTCAGTATGCTGGTGGAGGTGAGTTTGGATGGGCTGTCGCTGGATGTCAATTACAGGTAGTCCTCGACTGACAACAGTCCGTTTAGTGACCATTCAAAGTCACAACGGCACTGAAAAAAGTGACTTACGACGATTTTTCACAATTACAACCTTTGTAGCACCCCCGCAGTCACGTGATCAAAATTCAGAGCGCTTGGCAACAGGTTCATACTTACGGCCATTGCTATGTCCCAGGGTCACCTTTTGCGGCCTCCTGACAAGCAAAGTCAATGGGAAGTCAGGCTCACTTAACAACTTAAGAGCCTTGGTAGTACAGTGGTCTAAGGCACCCTGTTATTAAGGTGGTTATTAAGACCAGCTGCCTGCAATTACTGCAGGTTCGAATCTCTCCAAGGCTCAAGGTTGACTCAGCCTTCCATCCTTTCTAAGGTGAATAAATTGAGGACCCAGTTGTGGGGGCAATAAGCTGACTTTGTATAAAATATACAAAAGGATGAAGGCTATTGCTTAGCGCATTGTAAGCCGCCCTGAGTCTCCGGAGAAGGGCGGCATATAAATCAAATTAAAAATTAAAAAAAAAAAAACTGTGTTAACTAATTTAACAACTGCAGTGTTTCACTTAACAGCTGTGGCAGGAAAGGTCTCAAAATGGGGCAAAACTCACTTAACAAATGTCTCGCTTAACAACAGAAAACTTGGGCTCAATCGCGGTCGTAAGTCGAGATTGATCTGTACATTCAAACTTTTGTTTGCAACTGCTCCAAAAGCAAAACAGACGAGACTCGATTTAAGAAACAGGCCTTACGTACCTCTTGAATACAGAGAATAGGAAATATAAGTTCGGTGGGGAAAGAGGCACAATGAGAAGCTGGGACAAAGGAATTTTCACTCACACTGAAGATCAGGAGGTGACCTCGGAAAAATGGCTTTTCTTTTCCATTTTTCATGCCACTCAGGTCGTGCAGGGCCTTTATGCTGGCTAGAGCAGCAGTCCCCAACCTGTCCGGCTTGGCGGCCTGGTGCGGTGAAGGGGGGAACGGGGGAATGGTTTGGAGTGAGTGGTGGGTGCACACAAGCGTGTACAACTCTATTTGTGCCAGTGCAGGTGCCCGCCACTCACCCAAGTGGAGCTTCACACACGCGCTCGCTGCTGTTTGCGCAACCCAGTTCTGAATGGGCTGCAGCTTGGTAGTGGGCTGTGGCCCGGGGTTGGGAACCCCTAGGCTAGAGTCCTGTAAACATACAGAAAAAGGTATAATTCTCTGCGTCTCATTGGCCATCTTCCAAGTCTCTCTTTTCATCCCATCTCCATCAGTTCACAGGAATATCCCCCCCCATCCCATCTCCGTGGAGACAGTTCTTCAGGGGAATTAAGTAGGTAAAAGTTCAAGCCTCTCCTCTCCGTCCTTATGGCAGCTTGGAAGCTGACATATGGATTCAACTTCATTTGTTGAGCTTATCGCCTATTCTCAAAGATGCAGAGATGCAAGAAGAGACATAAACGTTTGCAATAAAGACAGCTGGTAAACCTTTTCGGCACCAAGTGCTGAAATGGGAGCGTGTGCGTGTGCGCACCAAAAACCGGAAAAGCAGATATGTGCTTTGGGTGCCACTTCCGGCATGCATGCCATAGATTCGCCATCACACACCTAGAAGGTCGTAACGCAGAACAGTCAAAATGCCAGCAGGGTAGATAAGTAGAAACTTCTTCAGCTGACACAGAACATCTACATTTTATTCTGTCGAGAATCTTGGAAAGATTGTCCTCTATTTACAACTGGCCACTTAGTGACTGTTTGAAGTTGGAACAGACTAAAAAAAAGTTACTTTCAACCTGTCCTCGGAGTTATGACTGCCATACCACCTTTGTGGTCACATTATGGAATTTCGGGTGATTGGCAACCAACTTGCACTTACAACTGTGTTTGTTTGTTTTTTTGCTGGATAAGTTGGATTTGGACTTATAAGCATACAATCCACTTAAAGGACTGTGGTGACTCACTTAAGAACCATCATGAAAAAAACATTCCAAAAATTGAATCTGCTCACGTGGTGATTCGATTAGAACCCCAATGACTTAAAGACCAAAATTCTGGGTTTGGTGGTTGTTAAGTCGAGGACTACCTGCATTCCATACACAACAAAATGTATATGTGTATACAACAATTACACATGGGATGTGTTTTCTTTCCTAGAAAAGACAAGCAATTTTTTTTCCCCCCCCCCCCCCCCCAATCTTTCCTCCAGGTTCACAAAGGAGTCTATGGCTTTGTCAGAGACAAGCACGGCCGGCCAGTGTCCAAAGCCCAAATTGTGTTCAACGAAGGGATAAAAGTGTGCACCAAAGAAGGCGGCTACTTCCATGTGCTTCTCGCTCCAGGCTATCACAAGATCCTCGCGATAGCGGAAGGCTATCAGCAGCAGCATGTCCAGGTACGGGGAAAGCCTCTTCGTTTTAGCGTGGCTCCACTGTGGTGGAATAAATGCCATGCGGAATAAGTTGGCACAACTGGCAGTCCTTTTTTATATATATACCGGTGTGTGTGTAGACACACATATACATATACCATACTTTTCAGAGTATAAGACATACTCCCCCTCCTCCAAAAAGAGGGTGGAAATGTCAGTGCGTCTTATACAACGAATAGAGCCATTTTTGGCCTCCCGAAATCCCGCACGTCCGTTTTTGCTCTTCCCCAGCCCCCAGGAGCACTCTGCAGGCCTCCCAAACCCTCTGTGCATCCCATTTTTGCGAAAAATGGGTTCATTTTTCGCAAAAATGGGATATGCAGAGGGTTTGGGAGGCCTGCAGGGTGCTTCTGGGAGCCGGGGAGGGCAAAAACTATTTTTTTTCTTGTTTTCCTGTTTGAAATCTTGGTGCATCTTTTTTATTTTATTTTATTTTATTTTATTTATTTGTCAAGAACGTATCAGGTAATAAGTATAAACATGGATTGGATACATAAAATAGATACAATAGAATAAAATAGATACAATACAATAGATATTGGGGGCGAATCATTGGCCCCCACGGAGAGGGCCCGCAACTTGGGTGTCTTCCTGGATGCACGGCTGTCTTTAGAAGGGCATATGACGGCCGTGGCCAGGGGGGCTTTTTGTCAGGTTCGCCTGATAAGCCAGTTGCACCCCTTTCTGGACCGGGACTCCCTATGCACGGTCACTCAAGCACTCGTCACCTCTCGTCTGGACTATTGTAACACTCTCTACATGGGGCTCCCCTTGGGGTACACCCAGAGGCTCCAACTGGTGCAGAATGCAGCTGCGCGGGGGATTATGGGAGCGACGGGGCGCTCCCATGTGACTCCTCTCCTGCGCGAGCTGCATTGGCTTCCAGTGGACTTCCGGGTGCGCTTCAAGGTGTTGGTGATCACCTTTAAAGCGCTCCATGGCTTAGGGCCAGGGTACTTACGAGACCGCCTTCTGCCACCAATAGCCTCCCACCGGCCGGTTCGCTCCCACAGAGAGGGCCTCCTCAGGGTGCCGTCGGCCAGACAATGTCGGCTGGCGACCCCCAGGAGGAGAGCCTTCTCTGTGGTGGTACCTACCCTATGGAACAATCTACCCCCAGAGATACGAGTGATCTCCGACCTCCGGACTTTTCGTCGGGCCCTAAAAACTTATTTTTTTCAGTTAGCCGGTCTGTCTTGATTTTAGGGTTAGTTTTAAAATTTTAATACTGATTTTAAATTGACAAGTTTTAAATTACGGGCCAAATTTATAAATTATTTTAACTCTATTTTTAACTATAATGTTTATGTATAGATGTATAGATGTATGTATAGATGTTTTTATGTTCACCGCCCTGAGTCCGAAAGGAGAAGGGCGGTATAGAAATTTGAATAATAAATAAATAATAAATAAATAAATAGAGGAAACATTAAGATAGGGACGGTAGGCACACTGGTGCACTTATGCACACCCCTTACTGGCCTCTTAGGAATGGGGTGAGGTCAACAGTAGACAGTCTTAGGTTAAAATTTTGGGGGTTTTGTGATGAAACCACAGAGTCGGGTAGTGTATTCCAGGCACTGACCACTCTGTTGCTGAAGTCATATTTTCTCTGGTGCGTCTTATAATCCGAAAAATACAGTACATACATACATACATACATACATACATACATACATACATACATACATACATTTGTTTTCTGAGGTTTCCGCGGGTGTTTGTATGTAGGTCTTTGGTTATTCGGGTTTTCTCCCGCGTAAAATTGGAGGTTTCTTGGCAACGTTTCGACGAAGTCTCATTCGTCATCTTCAGGCTGCTGTTCTCGGCTTCGTGCTTCTAGGAGCAATGTGTCACGAGAAGCACGAAGCCGAGAACACCAGCCTGAAGATGACGAATGAGACTCCCGGGGAGGGCAAAAACAGCCTTCCCCACCCCTCTGTAGGTCCTCCGGAGGCCAGAGACAGCCCGTTTCCCAACTTCCGGTAGGCCCAGAAGGCCCATTTTTCGCTCTCCCCAGGCTCCAGAGTCTTTCTAGGAGCCTGGGGAGGGCAAAAACGGCCTTCCCCACCCCCCTGTAGGTCCTCCGGAGGCCAGAGACAGCCCATTTCCCAACTTCCGGTGGGTCCAGAAGGCCCAAAAATCAGCTTGCCAGCATGCACATGCGTGCTGGAGCTGGGCTAGAGCAAAGCTCGCGTGCCCACAGATATAGCTCCATGTGCCACCTGTGGCACGCGTGTCATAGGTTCGCCATCATGAGTGTATATGATGGGTTCATTTGTGGTTGTAAGGCGAGGATTATTTGTAATCTGTTTCGGTGGATCTTGGCTGAAGTTCCTGTTATAAGAAGCATCAAGCAACTTGAGTTATGCATTTCTTTTTTCTTTGTTAACCTGGCCTTTCCAGATCTGCCCAAACAAAGGGATTAAGAAGAAAAATCAGAACCGTAAGTCTGGCTTTCTCACTCTCTGGACTAGGGTTTTTTTTAAAAAGTTTGTTATTTTTTTAAGACAAACAAACATTTAATACATCAATTATTTATTATTATTTATTTATTTATTTATTGAATTTCTATACCGCCCTACTCCCGAAGGACTCAGGGCCATGAGATAAAACCATGAAATAGCCATGAAATAAAACACATAGATATACAAAATTTAAAATCGAATAAAATGAATTAAATAAATTTGGCTGAATTAATACCCAATTTAAAATACCCATATTTTAAAATCCATTAAAAATTTAGAATTTACACTTTAGAAAGGAGGAGATTTAGGCGAGGCCAGCTTGATGAAACAAAAGCGTCTTCAACTCGCGGCGGAAGGTGCGCAGATCCGGAATCCTCCGTATCTCTGGGGGGAGCTCATTCCAGATCGTCGGTGCCCCCACAGAGAAGGCTCTCCCCCTAGGGGCCGACAGCCGACATTGTTTGGCCGACGGCACCTGGAGGAGCCCCTCTCTGTGGAGCGTACTGGTCGGTGGGAGGCTGTTGATGGTAGTAGGCGGTCCCGTAAGTAACCAGGTCCCAAGCCATGGAGCGCTTTAAAGGTGGTAACCAGAACCTTGAAGCGCACCCGGAAGACCACCGGGAGCCAGTGCAGCTCGCGCAGGAGAGGTGTTACATGGGAGCTCCATGTTGCTCCCATAACCACCCGCGCGGCCGCACTCTGCGCCAGTTGGAGCCTCCGGGTGCACCTCAAGGGGAGCCCCATGTAGAGAGCATTACAATAGTCCAGACGAGAGGTGACGAGGGCATGAGTGACTGTGCGTAACGAGTCCCGATCTAGAAAGGGACGCAACTGGCGAATCAGGCGAACCTGATGAAAAATCCTCCCGGTCACGGCCGTCAAGTGCTCTTCTAAAGACAGCCGTGAGTCCAGGAGGACGCCCAAGTTACGAGCCCTTTCCGTGGGGGCCAATGATTCGCCCCCAATAGCCAGCGATGGTGCCAGCTGACTATATCGGGACGTCGGAAACCACAGCCACTCGGTCTTGGATGGGTTGAGCCTGAGCCCGTTTCTCCCCATCCAGATCCGCACGGCCTCCAGGCACTGGGACATCACTTCAAGGGCATCGTTGGGGTGGTCCGGGGTGGAGATGTACAGCTGGGTGTCATCAGCGTACAGATGGTACTTCACCCCGAAACCACGGATGATCTCGCCCAGCGGCTTTACATAAATGTTGAACAGAAGGGGCGAGAGAACCGATCCCTGCGGCACCCCACATATAAGGGGCCTCGGGGTCGATCTCTGCCCCCCTGTCAACACAGACTGCGACCGGTCAGAGAGAAAGGAGGAGAACCACCGTAAAACGGTGCCTCCCACCCCCACCCCAACCCTTCCAGCCGGTGCAGCATGATACCATGGTCGATGGTATCAAAAGCCGCTGAGAGGTCTAACAGGACCAGGACAGAGGAACAACCCCTGTCCCGAGCCCTCCAGAGATCATCAACCAACGCGACCAATGCCGTTTCCGTGCTGTACCCAGCCTGAAGCCCGACTGGAACGGATCTAGATACGACGCTTCATCCAGGTACTGGGGTAGCTGTCGCGCAACCACACTCTCAACAACCTTCGCAACGAAGCAAAGGTTGGAGACTGGACGATAATTAGCCAATACTGCCGGGTCCAGGGAAGGCTTCTTGAGGAGAGGCCTCACCACCGCCTCTTTCAAGGCGGCGGGAAAGACACCCTCACCCAACGAAGCATTTATAATCCCCTGGAGCCAGCCTCGCGTCACCTCCCGGGAAGCCAGCACTAACCAGGAGGGACACGGGTCCAACAAACATGTGGTCGCGTTCAATCTACCCAGAATCCTGTCCACGTCATCTGGGGTCACAGGATCAAACTCATCCCAGATAACAGTCTCAAGACCTGTCTCCGTCACCCTCGCTGGATCTATCCCGTCAGAGTCCAGACCTGCCCGAATCTGAGTGATTTTGTCATACAGATATTGAACAAAATCCTCGGCTCTCCCCTCCAAGGGGTCCTCCCGCGCTTCCTGGTGGAGCAGGGAGCGGGTCACCCTAAACAGGGTGGCCGGGCGATTATCTGATGACGCAATAAGAGCAGTAAAATGAGTACATTTTACTGCTTTTATCGCCACTAGGTAACTCCTAATATAAGATCTTACCAGTGTTCGGTCAGATTCAGAAAGACTAGCCCTCCAACAGCTCTCTAGGCGTCTTTTCCGGCGCTTCATCTCCCTCAGCTCCTCGGTGAACCAAGGAGCCAGGCGAGATCGGCGCCGGGTCAGAGGCCGCAAAGGCACGACTCGATCCAGGGCTCCAGCAGCCTCCCTATCCCAGGCGGCCACTAGGTCCCCAGATGAGGCGTGAGCCAGAACCTCCGGGATTGGCCCAAGTTCCATCTGGAACCTATCAGGTTCCATCAGGCGCCTGGGGCGGTACCATCTTACCGGTTCCGCCTCCCTGCGGTGGGGTGCTGCGGTTCGAAGGTCAAGGCGAAGGAGCGAGTGATCTGACCATGACAAGGGCTCGATGACTATATCCCCTATCTCGAGATCACTCAACCACTGTC